TGATGCTATCATAGCCTGTTAACTTTTACAGGGACAGTTTTACAGCCAAGACAGTCTCTACAAAACCACATCTGTAATCAAAACCATTTATTTCATAGGATATCAAACAGTGAAGTTGTTACTCTGGGATCACATTGTGTCATAACTGGGAGCTTGCTGTGACATCATTCCATCTAAGGGATTATCCAGTAGACTACGGGCACTTTTCTATCAACTTCTGGAGACTTCATTTCACCCTGCAGTCCTGTATACCTGACAATTAAAATAATCCTATAAAAGCCCAATAGATGATTTAATTTAACTAAATTATTTCATTTAATTAACTAAATTACATATTCCAATTTGGCCACTTAAAACTGAGCATATTTCAGAGAGGAGCATTACTAAATATTTTTTCTGGGACTGTTTGCCAACAGTAAATATTTGTATCTGTTTTGGACCCATCTACAATCACTTTCAGAAATAAAGTATGAAAAACAGACTACATATTCCTATTTTTTTATGTGATAAAATCAGTGCAGGCCACCGTACATACAGATTAGGATGTCTCGTTTTTCTCTCTGCAGTCTGTTTCCCCTGTTGGTTTTCTCCTTCCTTTGACATCTGTACATCTGTAAACAGATATAATTTCCTGTCTAATCTTATTTAACCTCCACGTCTTGTTTATTTTTGCTTTATCTGCGTCGTGAAGGCTCGTCTGTCCTGCTGTGAATGAGGCATTGTCTGCAGGCCCACAGATGTAATCTGCCCACATCCAAATCACCAGCGGCCCTCACAGGCACCCACCTGCCCCGTATTGCAATGCCCTGTTAGCCACATGTAGGTAGTACTTTTGAGATGCCACTTCCAGTTGCTGCCATACTGAGTTTAAGAATGAGGAGAGAGGCGTGGAACAGGATGTCTGGTTTCCCACAGCGAGAGGCTGGAGAACACGCTAAAAGTTTGTGTGAAAGCTTCAAAGCTGTCAAATTGAAAAGGTGATTTATTTTATTTTGCGACATTTGACTTTCAAACTCTACTGAGCTGTTCTGGATATTTTCAGCCATTGATGACAGGTGATATTGTGGAAACTATACGCATAATTATACTATGCGTTCTGCATTTGTCTAACATCCTCAATCAATGCAGGCAATTTTCTGACCCTGAATCAAAGCAATAGCACTGGTCATGGTCATACACACGCATACACACACACAGAGAGACGTGATGCTGAGACAGTACGGTCCCTGGACCAACCCCGGGAGAGCTGGACTCTTTCCCTGACTTTCCCTGTTCTTTCACCCTGGGAAGCTGATGGATGTGTTTGTTTGGCTTAGCTGTGGTGAATGTACACACAGTCACACACACACATATGGCCTTGACTGAAAAGATCACATGGGGGGGGGGTGCTTTCTCTCTACTTCCCCACTGTTGATTTTGGGTATCTGTTTAGAGTTTTTTCTACTTTTTCCACTCTCTTACTTCTCAGTGTGAAGAAGTTAGAGCCAACTGAGATTTTCTTAATGTAAACAAAAAGCAACAGCAGTCAACCTAACTTAGACTAACCAATTTATCTGCTAATATTTCACTAAAACGATTGGACACTACTGTGTAGGTAAGAAAGCAAGAATGAAACCCCCTGGGCCACTGGTGTCAATTCAACTTGTATTCCACATTGGTTCAACGTAATGTATTGACAATGATGTGGAAACAACATTGATTCAACCAGTGTGAAGTTAAGTTACGTTAATGAAAATAAATAATGTAAACAAAAAGCAACAGCAGTCAACCTAACTTAGACTAACCAATTTTATCTGCTAATATTTCACTAAAACGATTGGACACTACTGTGTAGGTAAGAAAGCAAGAATGAAACCCACTGGGCACTGGTGTCAATTCAACTTGTATTCCACATTGGTTCAACGTAATTGTATTGAAATGATGTGGAAACAACATTGATTCAACCAGTGTGAAGTTAAGTTACGTTAATGAAAATAAATATCCTAAAGATGTATTACTCACCCCTTGCACAGTCAGACAACAGAATGGACTCAACGATGAGCAGCATGATCTTGAGGACTCCCATCCTGACCTTAGACAACTTCATGTTCCCCCAATTCTAAAAGACATATGGTCAAAAAAAATAATAACACTCAGGCCTTCCAGATTCTGTAACTGCACACTGCAGAACTCACATCCACCTCCAGGGAAAAGCAGTTTGCCTCATTAGATGATATGGCAAAGCTACAGCATATGCTCTGCTTTGAATTTCCATATGTCCTTCAAGTCAGACACACAGTTATGTGTCATGGCTGTTGTCTTTTGCCATAGTGGAACTGAAATGCATGAGGCTTTCTCTTATAAATGAAAATGCATAGAGCAGATACACACATTTCTAATAAAATAAATAATCATGGGCTGGATCGATAAAATAACATATCTAGCCTTTGTGTTAGTATATTTATCTATTATTTTCAATAAATATCTGTGGTCAATATGGTGCACTCATTTAAATTATACTGCTCTCACAGATTGCCCCCTCTGAAAAATAGTACAAGTAAAATGAATATTTCTTATCTGAAACACAGCTGTATTATATTGTATAATTGTCACCATATGCGTTCATGAATTACTGTCTATAACATTCTACCATAGTCCATACATAGCCTATCTAAAAATTCCACATCATGGCAAATTAATTTAATAGTAATTACATGCATATACCTGTAAGCAATCAATTATTAATAATACGTAGCCATGTCTTATTTTACCATTAAATGTAAAAAATATTTATATGAACTATTGCGAACAATATAATCGTATGAACAAGGTCATATGCAGTGCACAACAATGTTAATTCTGAATTACATACCTGAAGTTTAAAGTAAATGAAGTTAACCTCGTATCAGCCTCTTCACAGAAAACGGGTAACCCATTCTCATAGAAGTCCGCACAGTCTCCATTTATTTATTAGTGGCCGATTTCATCGACCGCTCTCTAACACCACTAGAATGATCGCTGACTGCCTGTAGATCGGTCTATGAAATGGAAAAGCTGAAATCAGACGAAGCATACAATCAAATGAGTCCATTAATCACACATGGGTATCCATTAAAATGTTGCATTAACTTCGACAAACTGGAAATATTAGATCGTTTTTAAAGTCGGTATCCAACTGGTGTTTACAGTGGACTCTACTTCACATCCACTACCATAATTACGGAGTGCAGAGAGTTGGCCATCCCAGCTCTCAACTTTTGACCAATCACATACTAGGGCTGGGTAAATCAAAATTAACTCTTTCTTTCTCACTATCATAATCCAATAGCCTAGATCACACGAGTAATTTATTAAAATGGTATATGCCTCAATTTAAATTGCCAAGAGTCACCCCTGTAACAGATCAAGGATACGTTTTTCCTACCCAAATCCTGACCTTGACCATTAGGGGGAAAAATACTACACCGACCTTAGATCGGTATTTAAAGGCAACTTTATCCTACCCCCAGAAGAACAGACAGTAGACCCATCATACTGGTCATAGTGTGTCTAATAAGATCTACATATGTTTTCAGCAATGCTTATCACATCCCCTGAAGCATAATTGTAAACATTTAATTGTTAGGGGTGATTTACATTAATGTACTATGGATAACAGACTGAAGAAAAAGCTGCATGTATCAGTCAGATACAAGCCAATGCTGTATCAAATGAATAGGTGCTGCCACCCAGTGGGACTGGGATGCATCTCACCTGGGAACGTGACAAGAGGCCAAGAGGCAGGGAAGCATTTGACTGGCTACCCATCCACATCGCTCCGGCCAAATGGCGTTTGTAGGGTTCGCACTAGTTTCCACAGCCATATATCATAGAAATTCATGAAACAAACATGTACTTTTTTGGTCTTAATTTAAGGTTAGGGTTAGGCATAAGGTTATCAGTGTTGTTAAGGTTAAGGTTAGGTTTAAAATCAGATTTTAAGAATATAAATGGTAGAAATAGGCGGAAGCATGCTCAAATGACATGAAATCCCTTTGGATCACGTTCTGAGTGATTGATGCTATGTACACCCAAGAGTCAAGACCATGTCAATGATGAGTTTACATAAATGTCACAACTGCCTGAGATAATGTGATGAACATGCATGCATAGTAGTACAACACAGAAATTAGGGTAAATACTTATTCAAAGGAAAAAGTCATTTAATTTTAATTTACATGACATTTAAAACGAAATAACTTGTTTCAAAGTTTTTCCAAATGTTTCACATGGCTCTTAGTATTGAAATATGCTAGCCTTTACAAAATAAGAACAAGCTCTGAAGTAATAGGATATGCAGTCCTTGAATTACTGCACCATAATGAAAAAGTTGTAGTAGATTTATAGATTGACATAACTTCATTTTGTTTATAAAATAAAAATGATGTAATCTTAAAAGTGTCTTTATATTTTCCTCAATACAAATAAAACATGTAGAAGTAGTGAGTGATCTAGACAAGATAAAGCCTGAGAATTAGCTTTATAAATCAGGGCAGATTTGATATAACTGGTGCGGCCTTGAAGCGTAGAAGGCCATGGTTGTTTGAGCCAGTTATGTCAGATTGGCCATTCCTCTATCTACATCAACTCTAACTCATTCTCCATTGTAACCCAGATGGTGAAGCTTCCCCTCCACATCAGAAATGACTAGAGGGAGAAGGACGAAATCATGATGTAACAGTAGAAGTGGTTATCTACTGGGAATAGTAGCACTTTGTGCAGAGAGGTATGGCGACAATATATAACCAGGTAAGGATGAACAAAACAGTCTAGTTTAAATTTAAACTACTTACTATCTGTAACATATTCTAACTGATTTCACTACAGATCACATATGTTTCTGCAACAACAGCAGCAGCTGGCATGTAACCTAGATCATGATAATGTACACCAATGACCTCAGTGTAGTCGGAGAGGTTTGTCTCTGTTCTAGTGAATCTTGTCTAGAAGAGTGTGCTATTAGTGTGACCACTGGGAGTTAAAATATACTTAAGATAAATGTGTTTGGCAACAATATACACAGAGGGGGAAAAAACTATATTGCACAATCAGGAGGAAACCAAGCTGCCTTGACCAACTGATGGGAGACAGGCCTCAAAAACCTCTAAATAGTGGGTGATATGCACTCCATGATTCTAACAATCACATAATATAGGTGCTGATGTGTGGTAGAAGGTTAAAGTCTCTCTCCACTAGAGGGCATTAAATGCCTGAGAGAGTGACTGATGTGACCATGTCAATCTCAGATGTTGAGGAGTTACAGGTTAAAAATGGGATGGGTAGGAAATGAGATAAAGCATTACAAATTAAATCCATTTTGTGACTGTAAGAGCAATGGGCACAGCCCACATTGTTATAAAAGGCCAGCTAATCTTTTGTGTCCTTTGAGACACAGTCGATAAAATCAAAATCCCATGTCATGAAATTATATCACAAATTAATTGCTGTTAAAAGCATCGCCAAATAAGCCACATTTATGTGGGAGGAATCGATACATAAAATCTCTTAGGTAGGTCTCTCATAGGTAGCCTGATGAGGATTGATTTTCCCTCCTCATCCTTACAGCATCAGTAATTACATGACAAACTAAAATTAAAACCTTTAGAGCCATTGCGGCCAAACAAGCGAAATCAGTTGTGCGGAGATCATCATCCCTATCAACATAATTATCCTTATTTACATGTTTATTATGACTTACATTCTTTAAAGTAAATCGGAGCCCTGTGAGAGCTCTGGCACAAGTGTGGGAAGCCCGCTAAAGCATAGGACATGATGTCAGAAGGCCTTTTTTATACACAAGCAATAAAACAGTAAAGTCTTTCTCTCTCTTTTCAGCTACCAACAGCCCCAGAAGCTGTTCCTAAAGCACTGGACTGGTCCGGAGTAGCCTGTTCAAAACCCTATTTCCAGTTTTTTATTTTCTTCCTTCTTCCTCTGCCTCTATAGATAGGCAGACAGGCATCAGTGAGTCAGAGGAGGAGGACAGCATAGCATTAGGCCCTTTGGTTCCCTTTCAGGCAGCAGCAGTATCTCAAAAACAACAGAAAGGGTCTAATCATAGTTTATGTGCCTCCACATCTGACCTCGTTCCATCTCTCTGCTCTCTCATCCATGTCCTCCTTATTCCAAAGCCTTGCCTTGCTGTGCAGTGTGATGAAGATGATTGATAAGGTTGCTCTGTGTATTGGGGATTTAATTTGAATATAGCCTCATATCCCCTGGATATGCTCCTGTAGAGGCAGGGAGGTGGGGGAATCTGTTGGTACAGCAGGGGTCAGATGCCAGTCTTGTCGCTGTAGAACGGTGTGACGTGGAACATGTAGCAGTGTGTACACACCCTGACGGCCTTCACCTGGCCATACCGCGGTAACGGGGCTGAGTGGGAGGAGCAGCGAGAGCAGAAGATCTAAAATGACACATAGAACAAACAAGGTATATTTGATTGTTATTCATTTATTTGATGTAGTATAGACAATTCTAAAGATCTGTTCAGGCATTCTTTGTTACCTTGCCACAGCTCCTACAGTGGTGCTTCCTGCGGATGACGGTGAAGGGGGCCTTACAGGCAATGCAAGAGTCACATTCCTCATCAGGAACCCAGTCTGGGGGATCTACAGGGAAAAAGCAGGGGCACATTAATAGTGCTGCTTGTTTATTTGTGTGTCACACTGCGTGCATGCATGTCATGTGTGTATGTGTTTAAGGAGAAAAGGGAGGTGCTGACCTTCGAACTGTCCCTCCAGGGCCTTGGCTGCCAGCTCCGAGGAGGAGATGGTCTCCTGACAGAGAGAACAGTCCTCCAGCACAGCACTGCGCAGCCCTGGACATGCTGCGCCACACAGAGCACAGCCATGTCATTACAATTAACATTACCATGAGCATCACAGACAAACACACTGGGAGAACTACACTAAGACACCTGATGTAAAGACAAAAAACCTGAACAGAAGTATCTGTTCCTCACCCTTCTGTTTGTCATTGTCCCCCTGCTCAGAGGTAGCCATGACTTCAAACAGTGTCTTCAGGATGCTCCGAAGGTCTGCGGCATAGTTTGTCTGCAGCTGGTCAGCAACGCCTGGAGGTCAAGGGGTCAAGAGGAACCAATGAGATTATTATTCATGGCGAAAGCTCGTCTTACTGGGGTCCGACACATAACGAAAAATACAATACTGACAAAATACTTTACAATTCACATGCATTTCAAAACATGAACATGTAGTGTGTGTGTACATCTATGAGTTACAAATACATGTCAGTACATACACAGAAGTAGGTCACATGGGGGAGAGGCGTTGTGCCGTGAGGTTTATTTGTTTTTTAAACCCGGTTTGCTGTTCACTTGCGCTATATGAGATGAGTTCCATGCAATCATGTCTCTGTATAATACTGTACGTTTCCTTGAATTTGACCTGGGGACTCTAAAGACCCCAGGTGGCATGTCTGGTGGGGTAAGTGTGTATGTCAGTGCTGTGTGTAAGTTACTATGCAAACAATTAGGAATTTCTAACACATTAATGTTTCTTATAAAAACAAGAATTGATGCAGTCAGTCGTTCCCCAGCTCTTAGCCAAGAGAGACTGGCATGCATAGCATTGATATTAGCCCTCTGATTACAATGAAGAGCAAGACATGCCACTCTGTTCTGGGCCAGCTGCAGCTTAACTAGGTACTTCTTTGCAGCACTTGACCACACGACTGGACAATAATCAAGATAAGATAAAACTACAGCCTGCAGGACTTGCTTTGTGGAATGTGGTGTCAAAAAAGCAGAGCATCTCTTTATTACGGACAGACCTCTCCCCATCTTTACAACCATTGAATCAATATGTTTTGATCATGACAGTTTACAATCTAAGGTAACTTCAAGTAATTTAGTCTCCTCAACTTGCGCAACAACCATTCATTTCCAGATTCAGCTGAGGTCTAGAACTTAAACGACTTGTACCATATACAATGCTCTTAATTTTAGAGATGTTCAGGACCAGTTTATTACTGGCCACCCATTCTAAAACTGACTGCAACTCTTTGTTTAGGGTTGCAGTAATTTCACTAGCTGTGGTTGCTGACGCGTTTAGGGTTGAACCATCATACATGGACATATAGGCTTTGTTTAATGCCAGTGGTAGGTCATTGGTAAAAATAGAAAAGAGTAGAAGAGAGCTGCCCTGCGATACATCACACTTTATATGTTTAACATTAGAGACATTTCCATTAAAGAAAACCCTCTGTGTTCTATTAGATAGATAGCTCTGAATCCACGATATAGCAGAGGTTAAAAAGCCATAACACATACGTTTATTTCAACAACAGGTTATGGTCAATAACATCAAAGGCTGCACTAAAATCTACTAGTACAGTTCCCATAATCTTCTTATTATAAAAGTTTTTCAACCAATCAGTCATTTGTGTCAGTGCAGTACATGTTGAGTGCCCTTCTCTATAAGCATGCTGAGAGTCTGTTGTTAATTCGTTTACAGAGAAAAAGCTGTTTTTGGTCAAACACAATTTTCTCCAACAGTTTGCTAAGAGATGGCAGCAAGCTGATAGGGTCGGCTGTTAGAACCAGTAAAGGCCGCTTTACCATTCTTGGATAGCGAAATGACTTTTGCTTCCCTCCAGGCCTGAGGACAAACGATTTCCTCTAGGCTCAGATTAAAGATATGACATATTGGAGTGGCTATAGAGTCAGCTACCATCCTCAGTAGCTTTCCATCTAAGTTGTCAATGCCAGGAGGTTTGTCATTATTGATCTATAATTTTTTCCACCTCTCCCACACTAACTTTACAAAATTCAAACTTACAATGCTTTTCTTTCATTTTTTATTTTTATGCATGAATAGGATGCCCCACTGTTCGTTGTTGGCATTTCCTGCCTAAATTTGCCCACTTTGCCATTGAACTAATCATTAAAATAATTGGCAACATCAAATGGTTTTGTGATGAATAAGCCATCTGATTTGATGACAGATGGAGTTGAATTTGTCTTACTGCCCATCATTTCATTTAAAGTACTCAAAAGTTTTTTTCACATCATTCTTTATATTATTGGCCTTGGCTTCATAATACAGTTTCTTCTTCTTTTTGTTGAGTTTAGTCACATAAGTCATCCAGTCAGATGTGCAGCCAGACTTATTAGCCACTCATTTTGCCCCATCTCTTTCAACCATACAGTTTTTCAATTCTTCAATCAATCCATGGAGCCTTAACAGTTCTAACAGTCCGTTTCTTAACAGGTGCATGTTTATCAATAATTAGAACAAGCAATTTCATAAATTAATCAAGTGCAGCATCTGGATGCTCCAATCACATCAGACCAACAAAAATATATATAATCCACATAAGAGTCACAGAAAAATATTTTTGATGATCTCTTATACAGTATTTTAGGACCAGCTTTTGTAACCTGGGTTTTCCTGGATATAACCACTATATTGTGATCACTGCATCCACTGGGTACGGATACAGCTTTAGAACAAAGTTCTACAGTATTAGTAAAAATGTGATCAATACATGTGGATGATATAACTCATGTAGCGTTTGTAAACACCCTGATAGGTTAATTAATAACCTGAACCAGATTAGTAATCTTGAGCGGACAGCTTGATGAGCGGACAAGCTTGATGAAAACCAGTCAATATTCAGATCCCCAAGAAAGTAGACCTTTCGGTTTACAGCATATACACTATTAAGCATTGCACAGACATTATCTAGATACTGACTGTTAGCACTTGGTGGCCTATAGCTACACCGTAAAATAATAGGCTTTAGATGACAGGTGAACCTGCAACCACAACGTTTTAATAACACTTGACATAAGATCTTGTCTAAGCATTACAGGGATATGGTTTTTAATATATACAGCAACACCTCCCCCATAGGCATTCCTGTCCCTTCTGTAGATGTTATATCCTTGTATTGCTACCGCTGTATCATAAAAGGAATTATATAAGTGAGATGGCTAATATATGAATGTTATCTGATGTTAAGTTATTGATTTCATGAACCTTATTTCTAAGGCTACACACACGCCGAGTGTACAAAACATTAGGAACACCTTCCTAATATTGAGTTGCACCCCCTTTTGCATTGGGGCATGGACTCTACAAGGTGTCGAAAGCATTCCACAGGGATCCTTATTTAACCTGTCTTCTTCCCTTCATTTACACTGATTGAAGTGGATTTAACAGGTGACATCAATAAGGGATCATAGCTTTCGCCTGGATTCACCAGGTCAGTCTATGTCATGGAAAGAGCAGGTGTTCCTAATGTTTTGTACACTCAGTGAATATTAATATGGGCTATTTTTAGCCCTTTCCTGGTTAGCTTATCAGAGATCGACATAATATGGAAAAGAACAAACAAAGCAAAAAATTCATAAAAATAATAATTCAGCAGTCCAATCAATCAGTTGGTGTGTGTAAGTGTGTGTGTGTGTGCTTGGGGGTTGAAGCTACGAACCTACAGGCTCTCATCCCTTCCAGGCTTTTGGGAGGGAGGGTGGACAATGAGACTGTCATAGCGGATGTAAGCAATGTCCCCACACGCTTTGGCAGCTTTCATGGCTGGGATAAGTTCTTTCCTCTTCTGGCGCACAGCTTCAGGATAGTCCTCGTTGAGGAAGATGTACGTTCCTCTCAAGTTTGTCCTCAGACTCCGTCCAGGTCTCGTGTGGAGATTCTGCAATTCCGTCCACAACAATGTTGTTCCGCCTTGAATGTCCCTCGAGATAATCAGATTACTCCATCATTGTTATCATGGATTCACATACAGAACTGATGTCCTCTCTCAATGCCTTACAGATTGCTGTCATCTTGCCATTATCCTGTTTAAACTCATCGAGCTGACACTAGGAGAACTGCTAACTGTTCTTCAGGTCCTGGACCTCTTTGGTCAGATCGTCCATTCTTTTATTAGTTGACTCCACCAGTATTTGGACACAACACTTGAAGCTATTTTGTTGTTGTTGTGAGAACTGCTTGTAGAACAATTTTTGTTAGTTTTTAAAGATCCTTCACCTGTGATAGAGAGACACCACTGCCCTCAACGGTACTCCCACCGGCTTTGGTCTTTGTCATGGTAGTAACGTAGGCTACTCTGTTACTCCTCTCAGTTCCAGACAGGGCAGGTCGCAAGGCAGATGAAAACAGCAGGGATTCAAACAGTCACACTACCGGGACAATCCGTTGTCCTAGCCGAAAGGGGTGTGGGCTGTGTACAAGCTGCTAAGAAAACCTGGCTAGCTTGATAGCTAGCTAACTAACGTTTCTTAGACGCTAGGCTAGCGTCTGCGCCAACGAGGGAACAATGAGCTACTTCTCTGGAGCAAAATAAACCTGCTATTTTTCCATGTAATACATTGAACGTCCTACACCTTAATGTGATGGTGAATAAATAAGTCCATTAATTCATAGTTATTTTGCAAAAGAAAGCCACGAGAAAGATACATGTTTCCATGCATGCCACCGGAACTGGAGGCATGCAAGCTAGGCATAAAGAGGATACCGTGCAACTGTGGTGCAACTGTGGTGCATATGATAAGAGCAAAGCCAAGTAGGCTAGTGCATTGTGGAATACAGTGTAAAGCCATTGGAGTTGAGTGTAGTACATATTGGTAAAGTAATAAAAGTACATTTTCATTTTATTTCAGAGTCAAAGCATTAACAACAAAAGTAACAAAAACATGAGCAACATATAGACTGATTTACCCCATCAAACCACAGCTATGCCCTTGGAGAGAGAGTAATATACTTGCACAGATAGAGCCATGCCCTCAGAGAGACCGAGTGGCGCAGCGGTCTAAGGCACTGTATCTCAGTGCTAGAGGCATCACTACAGACCCTGGTTTGATTCCAGGCTGTATCACAATCCGGCCGTGATTGGGAGTCTCATATGGCGGTGCACAATTGGCCCAGCATCGTCCAGGTTTGGCCGGGGTAGAATAAGAATTTGTTCTTAACTGACCTTGTTAAATAAAGGTTAAATAAAAATAAAAAGAGCGAGAGAGAGACCACCAACTGTTCTAGGACCTCTATTGTTTTCTCTATATATACACAACCTCTTGGTGATGTCATTCAGAAACACAATGTCAACTTTCACTGCTATGTAAATGACACACAGCTGTACATTTCGATGAAACATGGTGAAACCCCATAATTGCCTACCCTGGAAGCCTGTGTTCCAGTCATAAGGAAGTGAATGGCGGCAAATGTTTCACTTTTAAACTCAGACAAAACAGAGATGTTGGTTCTAGGTCCCACGAAACAAAGAGATCTGCTGTCAGATTTGAAAATGAATCTCGATGGTTGTACAGTCATCTCAAATAAAACTGTGAAGGACCTCAGCGTTACTCTGGACCCTGATCTCTCCTACAACGTACATATAAAAAATATTTCAAGAGCAGCTTCGTATGTTATCTTCGTGACATTGCACAAATCAGAAACGTTGTCCAAATTTGATGCAGAAGAGCTAATCCATGCTTTTGTCACTTCAAGATTAGACTACTGCAATGCTCTACTCTCCGGTTACCCGGATACGGCACTAAATAAACTTCAGCTAGTTCTAAATACGGCTGCTAGAATCTTGACTAGAACCCCCCAAAAATATAATAATACTCCAGTGCTAGCCTCCCTACACTGGCTTCCTGTTAAGGTTAGGGATGATTTCAAGACTTTACTACTAACCATTACATGGAATTGCTCCTACCCATCTCGCCGATTTGGTTCTGCCGTACATACCTACACGTACGCTACAGTTACAAGACACAGGCCTCTTTATTGTTCCTAGAATTTCTAAGCAAACAGCTAGTCTCAACCTTTAAGTCTTTACTGAAGACTCATCTCTCAGAAAAGTCACACTTCTGCTGTTGAAGACTCATCTCTTCAGTAGGTTCTATGATTGAGTGTAGTCTGGCCCAGGGGTGCGAAGGCGAATGGCAAGGCACTGGAGTGACGAACCACCCTTGCTGTCTCTGCCTGGCCAGATCCCCCATCTCCACTGCGTTTCTCTGCCTTTGACCCTATTACGGGGTCTGAGTCACTGGCTTGCTCACGCTCTTTCATCCTTCCTGTCCTCTGGCTCGTGCGGTGGGGAGATCTTTGTGGGCTATACTCGGCCTTGTCTCAAGGTAGTAAGTTAGTGGTCTGCTGATATCCCTAGTGGTGTGGGGGCTGTGCTTTGCCAAAGTGGGTGGGATTAACCCTGTCCGGGGGTAACTTTGGACAGGGCCACAGTGTCCCCCAACCCACCCTGTCTCAGTCTCCTGTATCTATGCTGCAATAGTCTATGTGCCAGGGGGCTAGGGCCAGTCTGTTATATATGGTGTTACTCTCCTATCTTATCTGGTGTCCTGTGTGATCTTAGATATGCACGCTCTAATTCTCCCATCTCTCTCTCCCCTCCTGGAGGACCTGAGCCCTAGGACCATGCCTCAGGACTACCTGGCCTGACGACTCCTGGCTGTCCCCGTCCCTAGTCCACCAGGTCGTGCTGCTGACCCAGTTTCTGCTGTTCTGCCTGTGGCCATGGAACCCTGACCTGTTCACCGGACCCACCCCCACATACTGTCTCGACCTCTAAATGCTTGGCTGAAAAGCCAACTGACATGCTGACCTCTTGCACCATCTACAACCACTGTGATTTTTATTTGACCCTGCTGGTCTTCTATGAACGTTTGAACATCTTGAAGAACGATCTGGCCTTACTGGCCATGTCCTCTTATAATCTCCACCCAGCACAGCCAGAAGAGGACTGGCCACCCCTCAGAGCCTGGTTCCTCTCTAGGTTTCTTCCTAGGTTCTTGACTTTGTAGAGAGTTTTTCCTAGCCATCGTGCGTCTACATCTGCATTAGTTGCTCTCTGGGGTTTTAGGCTTGGTTTCTGTACAAGCACTTTGTGACAACTGCTGTTGTAAAAAGGGCTCTATAAATACATTTGATTGATTGATTGAAAGAGAGACATACCCGATATGCAGACGAAGAGGCGGTGGATGAGGTCACTGCTGCTGTGGAAGCGCGAGCGGATCTTGTTCCTGGCGGCCATCTGGATCTCATGGTGGTCCAGATCCTCTGACGTCCCCGAGCTCGTGGTCAGACTGCTGACAGGGCTGGAGGAGAGAGGGGGAGCGCACGTGCCAGAGAGAGAGAGAGCGATGGAGACATACAGTGAAGGGAGACGGAGACAGAGAATGGAGAGAGAGAGGCAGGGGGAGGGACTGTCACATTCATTGTCATTCTTATCAACACACAACACTGCTCACCAACATATTGTGTACTGTACTTGAATATGCATCGTACTATAGGGGTTGTGGTTGATTTCAATCTCAAAGTGAGTAATGAGTGAAATAGAGATGTTGATGGGAAAGGTTTATAGTATAGTATGACCATAAGCTGTAACATAGGGATGTATGAAAGAGAAACACACACACACACACACACACACACACACACACACACACACACACACACACACACACACACACACACACACAGTACAGACACAGACGTTCACAATGGGTCAGTGGTTACCTGGCTGTGTAAGCACTGCTGGACAGACTACATGTGGTGACAGACACACTCTCACAGTCACTACTGGAGACTGAGCTGAGAGGAGAGTCCTGAAAAAAACTGGGAATAACAAAAAAGAGGAAAAGCTAAATAATTAAATACAAAATATAAACCGATAACAGATGAGCAACATAAAATGGAATCTGTGAATGTTATGCTACAAAAGAAGCATAAAGCCAAGTGCAAATAGCAAACAAAACATAAAACACAAAACAACAACTGGATGACAAGATGTGGGTTAAATTAGCCAGAAACCAGACGTGGAGGAAGTTTGCTTTCCAAAGAGATGTAAATGACTGTTGTTGAAGCCTACCTGCTTTGAAGTGGAGCACTGATAACACATCACCCAAACACACATCTATAGCACATACAGTGCATTTGGAAAGTACTCAGACCCCTTGACTTTTTCCACAATTTGTTACGTTACAGTCTTATTCTAAAATTGATTAAATGTTTTTTTCCCCCTTATCAATCTACACACAATACCCCATAAAGTCTTCAGACCCTTTGCCATGAGACTCGAAATTGAGCTCAGGTGCATCCTGTTTCCATTGATCATCCTTGAGATGTTTCTACAACTTGATTGGAGTCCACCTGTGGTAAATTCAATTGATTGGACATGATTTGGAAAGGCACACACCTGTCTATATAAAAGGTCCCACAGTTGACAGTGCATGTCAGAGCAAAAACCAAGTCATGAGGTCGAAGGAAATGTCCGTAGAGCTCCGAGACAGGATTGTGTCGAGGCACAGATCTGGGGAAGGGTACCAAAAACTTTCTGCAGCATTGAAGGTCCCCAAGAACACAGTGGCCTCCATCATTCTTAAATGGAAGAAGTTTGGAACCACCAAGACTCTTCCTAGAGCTGGCCGCCCGGCCAAACTGAGCAATTGGGGGAGAAGGGCCTTGGTCAGGGAGGTGACCAAGAACCCAATGGTCACTCTGACAGAGCTCCAGAGTTCCTCTGTGGAGATGGGAGAACCTTCCAGAAGGACAACCATCTCTGTAGCACTCCACCAATCAGGCCTTTATGGTATAGTGGCCAGACGGAAGCCACTCCTCAGTAAAAAGGCACATGACAGCCCGCTTGAAGTTTGCCAAAAGGCACCTAAAGGACTCTCAGATCATGAGAAACAAGATTCTCTGGTCTGATGAAACCAAGATTGAACTCTTTGGCCTGAATGCCAAGCGTCACCTGGCAGCATCATGCTGTGGGGATGTTTTTCAGCAGCAGGGACTGGGAGACTAGTCAGGATCGAGGAAAAGATTAATGGAGCAAAGTACAGAGAGATCCTTGATGAAAACCTGCTCCAGAGCGCTCAGGACCTCAGACTGGGGCGAAGGTTCACCTTCCAACCGGACAACGACCCTAAGCACACAGCCAAGACAACGCAGGAGTGGCTTCAGGACAAGTCTCTGAATGTCCTTGAGTGGCTCAGCCAGAGCTTGAGAGGATCTGCAGAGAGAAATGGGAGAAACTCCCCAAATAAAGGTGTGCCAAGCTTGTAGCGTCATACCCAAGAAGACTCGAGGCTGTAATCGCTGGCAAAGGTGCTTCAACAAAGTACTGAGTAAAGGGTCTGAATACTTATGTAAATGTGATATGAGTTGTATTTTTTAAATAAATGTTTTAAAATATCTAAAAACCTGTTTTTGCTTTGTCATTATGGGGCATTGTGTGTAGCTCAGTTGGTAGAGCATGGAGCTTGCAACGCCAGGGTTGTGCGTTCGTTTCCCACGAGGGGCCAGTGTGAAAAAATGTATGCACTCACTAACTTAAGTCGCTCTGGATAAGAGCATCTGCTAAATGACTAAAATGTAAAATGTAGATTGATCAGGGGAAAAAACAATTTAATCCATTTTAGAATAAGGCTGTAACGTAACAAAATGTGGAAAAAGTCAAGGGGTCTGAATACTTTCCGAATGCACCGTACATTCATACCTAGTGTTCTTCTTGCTCTCTTCCTTGGACTCACTGTCTGCCTCTCTGGTCCCCGTCCTGTCCCTTCCCTCGCTGGCCTGAGGCCTCCTGACTGTCCTGCACTGGTGGGCACAAGGTTCTGGGGCTCCCCTTACCCCAATGGGGCTCCTGTTCTGGCCCAGGCACTGCTGAGGCCCCAGGGCCACCACCACCAGGCACTTGTCACAGCGCTGGTCCCCTTCCTCCTCCCCTGGAGGTGGCTCTGAGGAGCAGCGGGAGGAGGGGGGCGTCAGCTTGGGGGGAGAGTCCCCTTTCCCATGTTGGTCGTGTCCTGAGGAAACCAGGCGGCAGGCAGAGGAATGGATGACAGAGCTGTGTGGCAGAGGGGGCTTGCAGTGTTTGTCGAACCCCAGGCCCATCCCCAGCCCCAGCCCTGTGGTGTCCATGGTGAGGGCGTCATCATGGCCGTCCTCACAGCTGCCGCAGCAGACACAGGAGTTAAGCAAGCAGTGTGTGGCCACCAGGGGGGCGCATGGCTCTGTCTCTGAGGAGGAGAGGGGTCGGGGCAGGAGCAGCTTGTCCACAGCCAGCTCAGTCAGGCTGGGGGAGTGGGGGTTGAAAATCACTGTGGCCGATAGCTTCATCCCTCCCATGCGGTGTGCGATGACCTCAGCAGTTTCCGCCCCCTCCAGGCCCACCTCCCAGCCATTAGTGTAGGGCAGGGGCTCCCGGCCAGGGCTGGGATAGGGTCGCTTGGTGCTGGGGCACTGTGAGGGCTGGCTGTGGGGCTGCTGGGACAGATCTGACTGGGCATCAGTGGGCCAGCCATTCCTGGTTGAGTCTGTCTGGGGGCCAGGCCTGCAGTGCTGAGGAGAAGAGGGCTGAGGGGCTTTGGAAGGCGAGGTTTGACGAGTGCTAGTCACAAGGTCCCCTCCTGCGTCCAGGTCCTCCATGAAGAAGACTCTGTCCTCCTCCTCGTGGTAGAGACCTGTCCTTCCCCGGCCCACCAGCACCCGGAGGGGGGAGGCCTCAGTGCTGGAGCTACCGCTAGAGCCCCCTCTGTTGGGGCGGTGGGCTGGGGACTGTCCCTGGCTGGGAGGGGACAGCAGCGTGAACATCTCGTCCCCCACGCGGTGCACCATCATGTTGAGCTGTTCGATCTCTTCCTCATCATATTGCATGGAGCAGGCCAGGTCTGCCTCCTCCGCCTCCTCACACAGACTACCCTGCTCCTCCTCCTCTGCCCTCTCCACCTCCTCCCACTCCCTGTCCTCCTCGTCCTGGATGTGGGAGATGCACAGAGACAGCACCTCCTGCTGCTGCTCCCTCACCTGCTCCTCCTCACTCTGCCCCTCCGGGATGTCACTGGTGGGGTTGTTGGATGAGAGGGGGTCTGGGGCAACGGTGGGGGCTGGGGTGGGGGGAAGCTCGGGGACCAAGGGGAACCCGTCCTGAGAGATACAGAGGCTCCGCTCCAGCGTCAACAACTCCTCCTCTGACAGGGTCTGCAGCAGGTCCCTATGGGAATAAGACAACCTTAACAACATACTTACAAACGTCCAGCCTAAAATAATCACGCAATCAGGATGATAGTGGCCCATGATTTTTAGACTGTTTGGCAAGGTCCTTGAGACTTATGTTCACAAGATTGTTGTGATGGTTCACAGAGCTATTTTCTACCTATGATTAAATACAGAGGACAATCTATATGTGCATCCTCTTAACGGTACCTGATCTTCTTCAGTAAAGTGCGGAAGGGCCGGAAGAGCTCAGACATGTCCTCTGGTTTCCTATCCAGGTTGAGCGGACCTTCACAGTACACCACCAGACCACTGAGGGACAGACAGGGGGATTATAAAATGTTCTTAGTATCAGAGAGTTCCAGGAAGAAGAACAAGAGGAGACGGAGAAAACAACACTTACCACACAATGGCTAGTCTGGGGATTGTAAACATCAGAGCGGGTTCATAGTCATCGATCATATCTTGGCTGAGATAGCCCAGCTTGAGTGCCCTGAGACAAACACAACAAAGACGAGGGGCTGTGAATTAATATTAGACAACCATTAGAAAAATTGAAGAAACCCTGCATGCATGGAGTACCATGTCTGAAACTTGCTAAACCACTCGACTGTCATCTGAGCACTAACTCCAACTCTAAGGTTACAAACCTAAACTCAAACCTAGCCCTCACACAGTCCCATGGCTTTTCCCCGTGACATGGTTCGTCTCTCTTCCTCTGTGGCCCCCCATACAACTCACCTCTCCACAGTCTCACAGAAGAGCACAATCACATCCTGCTGAACATAGTATTCTTTGGGAGACTTCACAGGCACCATGGCTGATACATAGCTGACAGACAGAGGGAATCATGTAAAAATACATTAAAATACAGTCAAATATGTTGTTGATGATGATGTCCAATTGTTTAAGATGCTGATGTCCTATAGCTACCTGAGCTCAAACTCAGCAAAAAGGCTGTCGAAGTGGCGCAGCGCGTCCCTCATGCGGTCTGTGTAGACGTTGAGGTCTCGGAGGGCCTGGTCTCGCGTGATGTTGCGGACCTCCTCCAGACTACGGGTCAGGTCCTTGGCTAGAGGCCTCATGGCCATGCTCTCTATCTCCCTGTTCATGATGATGGAGCCTGCAGCCAGACACTACACGCAGAGATGGTGAGAGAAGGGAATGACTGGAGTTATTTAACCCTTCTTTATCCAGGTTAGTCTCATTAAAATAATGTATATTTTTCTTCAAGACAAACGTGTCTATGCACAAGTGATTAACACAAGGAATAATGAGTTATATAATGATCCAGCTGACCATTACAGTGTGAAAACAGATAGGAAACATGACTGTAAATGGGCATGAAGAGTGCCTATAGTGTCTAGCAGACTAATATTCATACAGAGTATGTATAGTTAATGTCGTGTGAGATGATACTGGAGGGCATTCAGTGCATTACCTCAGCCCCAAACCACAGCTGTCCTGCCAGGTTGTCATGGCGAATCTCCTCTGGGAACTTGACACAGAAGTCTCTGTTGGCTCTGTCACCAGGGATACATTCCTCCATGATCTGGTTGATAATGTTCAAGACATTGTCCTGCAGACACAGGGAGAGTGACAGGGACAGAGATTGAATAAATGAGTGAATAAATGTACTGAATGAAAAGGGGCGTCAATAATACCAATTATGTTGGTGATGAATGACTGCAAACCAAACAAAACGCACAAGTTTTGATCATAATGTTTCACAAACTACCACTGTAAAACCTTCCACTCAACAACCCCCTCTACATGTAGAGCATTTGACTGCATTGTCTGGAGAACCCTGAACAGGGAACAGGCTGAAAACAATTAAACAGGCCCATGCTCAGAATGGTCTCATTATAGCCCTCAATCACAACTCAATAAAAAAAACACTAAACTAAATCCCATAATTCCAGCAGTGCAAACAAACTGTCACGCACAGTGAGAGCTAATCATGAGCTTGTGTGCCACTGGCATGTACAACAGCCATAACAATGAGCCTTTTATCGCTCTCTCCCTCGCTCTCTCTCTCCAGGAACAGCACTACGTCTTTGCTGCTAGCCCCGGGGAGCAAGATTAAAAAGCTTAACCACCGACTCCTTTATTGCAGTGCTGTACTACCTACTCCTTGGCCTATTCCTAGTGGCCCCACCAGCCCAATGTTCCTCTGGCCATAGTCTTGTGTGACACACTACAGCTAGGCCTAATCTTGACCACTATCAGCCCCTCATCAGACAAAATGACATTGAGATGATACCTACAGTAGCTGCAGATAGAGCTTGCTCTCCACACTCCTACCCTCTAGGTTTATGCTTTGCCAGTAAGAGAGATAAAAGAAGAACAAGCAATCTGTCTCTCTTTCTCTCTCGCAGTCTCTTCCACTGGTGCAGTCCATGCTGTGAGAGCAACTATGCCAACATAACTTGAGCAGCTTGGCACCTCAGTGAGGCCCATGGCCATGAATATCATGGCCATCAATAAGAGCTCATAACAGCAATGTTAGGGTCGTGCAGACAACTCTGCACTGCCAGACCATTTGCCTTCCATTCTGGGGGTCTCAGGTATACAGGGTATTATTAAAGCATGCTGGTCACATGCTAGTCACATCCTGTTCCTTGTCTCAACGAGGTAGCCTACAACAAAATACTGTTTTCTAACCATGGGATTTAAAAGCCTACCTGACAAGTTTCAGATAAATATGAGTGTATAAGCAAAACACTGGCTGAGAGAACAAGAGGCAGTGTGGCATACCTGAAGCACTGTTATTTTCCTTCAGGGGGAAATATGGAAAGAGCCAAACCAGGATTGATCATTCTCAGTTGCTGAAAATGCCCTGCAGTCAGCTAACAGCCTTTGGGTTTACGAAGCACAACATGACGCAAAGCTAACACACAGCACTTCCCGGCGTGGTCAATTTAAGGTGATAATGACAAGAATACGAAAACTCAGCAGAGAGCGAGAGAGGATGGACAATGAGAGCATGGAATGGAGAAAGGGAGCGAGGGGATGGGGTGGGGGAGGATGGAGACAGAGAGGAGAAAATAAGAGAGGGAAAGCAGTTGGGGATCAAGCAGTGACCTTATTAGGAGCATCCCCCTCTGGGCCCTGGGTGCACGAGGCTCAGGCACGATGGTGGGCCTGCTAACGACCTCTCTCAGTCTGCCCCCCCTGAATATCACCCTGGCAGGCAGCAGCATGGCAGACATCATTCACACAGACCAGACCCCACACACCTCACCTGCACTTGACCACATATCTGGAGGAAGACCAGTTTAGAAATGTCAAAGCCCCCCAACTCCACATCGACACAATAGTCTTCCATCTTTCATGTGACAGGTCTCAGACAGAGACAAATATGTTAGTGAGGCGGATAAGCTTAATCTACTGTCAAGCAGACTAATATCCTATAGTGGATCTACATAACATTGACATATCAAGTCATACAAAACAACCTGACAGTCAATCCTTTACTCTGACCCCATACTGCCTGAAAACATCAAACCAGGTGTGTCAAGATATCTATACAGTGCAGTCGGGAAGTATTCATTTTTTCCACATATTGTAACATTACAGCCTTACTCTAAAATGGATTTTGACTTTTTCATCAATCTACACACAATACCCCATAATGACAAAGCGAAAATAGGTTTTTGGAAATTTTTGCATATGTATAATTTTTTTAAAACAGAAATACCTTATTTACATAAGTATTCAGACCCTTTGCCATGAGACTCGAAATTGTGCTCAGGTGCATCCTGTTTCCATTGATCATCCTTGAGATGTTTCTACAACTTGATTGGAGTCCACCTGTGGTAAATTCAATTGATTGGACATGATTTGGAAAGGAACACACCTGTCTATATAAGGTCCCACGGTTGACAGTGCATGTCAAGAGCAAAAACCAAGCCATGAGGTCGAAGGAAATGTCCTTAGAGATATGAGACAGGATTGTGTCAAATCAAATCAAATTTTATTGGTCACATGCGCCGAATACAACAGGTGCAGACATTACAGTGAAATGCTTACTTACAGCCCTTAACCAACAGTGCATTTATTTTAAACAAAAAAGTAAGAATAAAAAAACAACAAAAAAAGTGTTGAGAAAAAAAGAGCAGAAGTAAAATAAAGTGACAGTAGGGAGGCTATATATACAGGGGGGTACCGTTGCAGAGTCAATGTGCGGGGGCACCGGCTAGTTGAGGTAGTTGAGGTAATATGTACATGTGGGTAGAGTTAAAGTGACTATGCATAAATACTTAACAGAGTAGCAGCAGCGTAAAAAGGATGGGGTGGGGGGGCAGTGCAAATAGTCCGGGTAGCCATGATTAGCTGTTCAGGAGTCTTATGGCTTGGGGGTAGAAGCTGTTGAGAAGTCTTTTGGACCTAGACTTGGCACTCCGGTACCGCTTGCCGTGCGGTAGCAGAGAGAACAGTCTATGACTAGGGTGGCTGGAGTCTTTGACAATTTTGAGGGCCTTCCTCTGACACCGCCTGGTATAGAGGTCCTGGATGGCAGGAAGCTTTGCCCCAGTGATGTACTGGGCCGTACGCACTACCCTCTGTAGTGCCTTGCGGTCAGAGGCCAAGCAGTTGCCATACCAGGCGGTGATGCAACCAGTCAGGATGCTCTCGATGGTGCAGCTGTAGAATTTTTTGAGGATCTGAGGACCCATGCCAAATCTTTTTAGTCTCCTGAGGGGGAATAGGCTTTGTCGTGCCCTCTTCACGACTGTCTTGGTGTGTTTGGACCATGATAGTTCGTTGGTGATGTGGACACCAAGGAACTTGAAGCTCTCAACCTGTTCCACTACAGCCCCGTCGATGAGAATGGGGGCGTGCTCAGTCCTCTTTTTTTTCCTGTAGTCCACAATCATCTCCTTTGTCTTGGTCACGTTGAGGGAGAGGTTGTTGTCCTGGCACCACACGGCCAGATCTCTGACCTCCTCCCTATAGGCTGTCTCATCGTTGTCGGTGATCAGGCCTACCACTGTTGTGTCGTCGGCAAACTTAATGATGGTGTTGGAGTCGTGCATGGCCATGCAGTCATGGGTGAACAGAGAGTACAGGAGGGGACTGAGCACGCACCCCTGAGGGGCCCCCGTGTTGAGGATCAGTGTGGCAGATGTGTTGTTACCTACCCTTACCACCTGGGGGTGGCCCGTCAGGAAGTCCAGGATCCAGTTGCAGAGGGAGGTGTTTAGTCCCAGGATCCTTAGCTTAGTGATGAGCTTAGAGGGCACTATGGTGTTGAATGCTGAGCTGTAGTCAATGAATAGCATTCTCACGTAGGTGTTCCTCTTGTCCAGGTGGGAAAGGGCAGTGTGGAGTGCGATAGAGATTGCATCATCTGTGGATCTGTTGGGGCGGTATGCAAATTGGAGTGGGTCTAGGGTTTCTGGGATTATGCTGTTGATGTGAGCCATGACCAGTCTTTCAAAGCACTTCATGGCTACAGACGTCAGTGCTACGGGTCGGTAGTCATTTAGGCAGGTTATCTTAGAGTTCTTGGGCACGGGGACTATGGTGGTCTGCTTGAAACATGTTGGTATTACAGACTCAGTCAGGGACATGTTGAAAATGTCAGTGAAGACACTTGCCAGTTGGTCAGCACATGCTCGGAGTACACGTCCTGGTAATCCGTCTGGCCCTGCGGCCTTGTGAATGTTGACCTGCTTAAAAGTCTTACTCACATCGGCTACGGAGAGCGTGATCACATAGTCATCCGGAACAGCTGGTGCTCTCATGCATGCTTCAGTGTTACTTGCCTCGAAGCGAGCATAGAAGTGGTTTAGCTCGTCTGGTAGGCTTGTGTCACTGGGCAGCTCGCGGCTGTGCTTCCCTTTGTAGTCTGTAATAGTTTTCAAGCCCTGCCACATCCGACGAGCGTCAGAGCCAGTGTAGTATGATTCAATCTTAGACCTGTATTGACTCTTTGCCTGTTTGATGGTTCGTCGGAGGTCATAGCGGGATTTCTTATAAGCGTCCGGGTTAGAGTCCCGTTCCTTGAAAGCGGCAGCTCTACCCTTTAGCTCAGTGCGGATGTTTCCTGTAATCCATGGCTTCTGGTTGGGGTATGTACGTACGGTCACTGTGGGGACGACATCATCGATGCACTTATTGATGAAGCCAGTGACTGATGTGGTGTACTCCTCAATGCTGTCTGAAGAATCCCGGAACATGTTCCAGTCTGTGCTAGCAAAACAGTCCTGTAGCTTAGCATCTGCGTCATCTGACCACTTTTTTATTAACCGAATCACTGGTGCTTCCTGCTTCAGTTTTTGCTTATAAGCAGGAATCAGGAGGATAGAGTTATGGTCAGATTTGCCAAATGGAGGGCGAGGGAGAGCTTTGTATGCGTCTCTGTGTGTGGAGTAAAGGTGGTCTAGAGTTTTTTTCCCTCTGGTTGCACATTTAACATGCTGGTAGAAATTAGGTAGAACGGATTTAAGTTTCCCTGCATTAAAGTCCCCGGCCACTAGGAGCGCTGCATCTGGATGAGCGTTTTCCTGTTGATTAATGGCCTTGTACAACTCATTCAGTGCAGTCTTAATGCCAGCATTGGTTTGTGGTGGTAAATAGACAGCTATGAAAAATATAGATGAAAACTCTCTTGGTAAATAGTGTGGTCTACAGCTTATCATAAGATACTCTACCTCAGGCGAGCAAAACCTCAAGACTTCCTTAGTATTTGATTTTGTGCACCAGCTGTTGTTTACAAATATACACAGACCGCCACCCCTTGTCTTACCAGAGTCTGCCGTTCTGTCCTGTCGATGTAGCGTATAGCCTGCTAGCTGAATGTTATCATTGTTGTCGTTCAGCCACGACTCCGTGAAACATAAGATATTACAGTTTTTAATGTCCCGTTGGTAGGATAACCGTAATCTTAAATCGTCCATTTTATTCTCAAAAGCTTGAACGTTGGCTAATAGGATTGATGGGAGAGGCAGTTTACTCGCTCGCCGTCGGATCCTTACAAGGCAACCGGATCTGCGTCCGCGATATCTCCGTCTCTTCCTCACGCGAATGACGGGGATTTGGGCCTTGTCGGGTGTTTGTAGGATATCCTTCGCGGCCGCCTCGTTGAAGAAAAAATCTTCGTCCAATGCGAGGTGAGTAATCGCTGTCCTGATATCCAGAAGCTCTTTTTGGTTATAAGAGACGATGGCAGAAACATTATGTACAAAATAAATTACAAATAACGCGGAAAAACACACATAATAGTACAATTGGTTAGAGGGCTGTAAAACGGCAGCCATCTTCTCCGGCGCTGTTCATCGAGGCACAGATCTAGGGAAAGGTACCAAAACAATTCTGCAGCATTGACGGTCCCCAAGAACACAGTGGCCTCCATCAAGTTTGGAACCACCAAGACTCTTCCTAGAGCTGGCCGCCCGGCCAAACTGAGAAATCAGGGGAGAAGGGCCTTGGTCAGGGAGGTGACCAAGAACCCGATGGTCACTCTGACAGGGCTCCGGAGTTCCTCTGTGGAAATGGGAGAACCTTCCAGAAGGACAACCATCTCTGCAGCACTCCACCAATCATGCCTTTATGGTAGAGTCGCCAGACGGAAACCACTCCTCAGTAAAAGGCACGACAGCCCGCTTGGAGTTTGCCAAAAGGCACCTAAAGGACTCTCAGATCATGAGAAACAATATTCTCTGGTCTGATGAAACCAAGATTGAACTCTTTGGCCTGAATGCCAAGCGTCACATCTGGAGGAAATCAGGCACTGCTCATCACCTGGCCAATACCATCCCTACGATGAAGCATGGTGGTGGCAGCATCATGCTGTGGGGATGTTTTTCAGCGGCAGGGACTGGGTGACTAGTCAGGATCGAGGGAAAGATGTACGGAGCAAAGTAGAGAGAGATCCTTGATGAAAACCTTCTCCAGAGTGCTCAGGACCTCAGACTGGGGTGAAGGTTCACCTTCCAACAAGACAACGACCCTAAGCACACAGCCAAGACAACGTAGGAGTGGCATCGGGACAAGTCTCTGAATGTCCTTGAGTGGCTCAGCCAGAGCCCGGACATGAACCCGATCTAACATCTCTGTAGAGACCTGAAAATAGCACTGCAGCGACACTCCCCATCCAACCTGACAGAGCTTGAGAGGATCTGCAGAGAAGAATGGGAGAAACTCCCCAAATACAGGTGTGCCAAGCTTGTAGTGTCATACCCAAGAAGACTCGAGGCTGTAATCGCTGCCGAAGGTGCTTCAAAAAGTACTGAGTAAAGGGTCTGAATACTTATGTAAATGTGATATTTCCGGTTTTTATTTTTAATACATTTGCTACAATTTCTAAAAAAAAAACTGTTTTTGCTTTGTCATTATGGGGTATTGTGTGTAGATTGATGAGGGGGAAAAAACTACTTAATTCATTTTAGAATAAGGCTGTAACGTAACAAAATGGGGAAAAGGTCAAGGGGTCTGAATACTTTCCGAATGCACTGTATTTAAAAGTGGAGATTGACTTCAAGACCCAATCTCTAGTAGCTCCACTTCATTGATCATTCCAAAGGCACTCATCCAAGCCTTCATTCCTGACCTAGATATCACGAACACAAGGAACTCACAACCTGAAAAAGGCTATCAAAACATGATGATATAATCAACTGCTTGCAATCACAGGGACTCCTCATCTCCCCTTATCACTGTGAAGCGGCTTGATTTAACGGCCCGTCCAATCAATGCTTACTGGGACAATCGTACAACCCCTACCATATCAGCCAACCAATCTCAGGCTTTTTGCAGTTCAAACTCCCCTGTTGTAGAGTTTGTTGTCATAGTTTTAAACATTTGAGGTCAAACGTCTAATACTTCAACTCTCATTCACTTTGCTTGGCATGGTGGACTTTAAGTGCTCTCTGCCAAACTGGGTTACAGCATTACCTCTCATAAATCAAATGTCCGTGATGGATTTTTCTTAATTTATGGAGATGGAAGTGTAAAAGAAATCAGAAACATGGTGAAACGAAACTATAAGAGACCTGCTAGAGAATTGTGGCCCTATTCTGAGGGTACTCAAATGAACCAGTGTCAGTCCCTTTAGATTCTTACCTGACATGATCTGAACTGGTTGACCAGCAGCGTACACCTCTGAGGGTCCTTCCTGCCATCCAGGCTGTCCAGTTCTGTGGCCACCTGGTTGAGCTCCTCATCAGCATAGTAGAACTGGGCCAGGAGCTGAGGGTCCGTCCTCTGTACAGACAGAGATGGAGAGGAGAGGTGAAATAAAGGACTTTACATAAAGAGAGCAACCATAGAGGTTTTTAATAGTAGTAGATCAGCTGAACATTGATGTAAGAGGGCATTGAACATGGGGAAAGGGTTAAATAAAGCACTCCCATCTCCTCTCCTCTATATCCCAGTTACAATGATAGGTAATGTGGGGCCTTCGACTTTATTGACGACAACAAAGACATAATACCATAAAAACAGGATTACGGAGGAGTGAACATACATGATGTCCATGAGCACAAGGACGGTGAAATGGATGAAAACAGGTTGAGTTCTAGAGGGTGGGACGTTAACAGATGGTTAATATTGTCTGTCCTCTCCCCAGAAGAGCAGGCGTAATTAGAGAGCTTGGCCCTGGTAAAGGATTTGTGTCATTATCTCACACTGTGTGCTGTTCCGTAGGGAAGAGCACAGCATAGCAGATCATTCCACTGCTAAGCACATGCACAGCCACGCCACTCAAAGGGGGGGGGGGGAGCGAGAGAGGGGAGAAAGAGAGAGGGAGGGGGGGGGTCAGGTGGGGATCTATCTCCGGGAAAGGTGGAGTAATAAAATGTTAACGGTTATGAAAACACAACAAGGGATTGATGCGGCATCATCACCAGCAGACCAGAATAAATAGTACCATAACTCCTCCTCCTCGTTAAGGGAACCTGACAACACAGACTGAGGGGAAGATTACTGTGGCTATGTTTTAAAAATGTCCTTCAGATAAGAAATCACCCTCATATAATTATGTTTTCTGGAGCCCCACAAGCAGTTTCCCTTAAGTCAGTCTTGATGTACAGTCGTGGTCAAAAGTTTTGAGAATGACACAAATATTAATTTTCACAAAGTCTGCTGCCTCAATTTTTATGATGGCAATTTGCATATACTCCAGAATGTTATGAAGAGTGATCAGATGAATTGCAATTAATTTTAAAAGTCCCCTCTTTGCCATGAAAATGAACTTAATCCCAACAAACATTTCCACTGCATTTCAGCCCTGCCACAAAAGGACCAGCTGACATCATATCAGTGATTCTCTCGTTAACACAGGTGAGAGTGTTGATGAAGACAAGGCTGGAGATCACTCTGTCATGCTGATTGAGTTAGAATAACAGACTGGAAGCTTTAAAAGGAGGGTGGTGCTTGAAATCATTGTTCTTCCTCTGTTAACAATGGTTACCTGCATGGAAACACGTGCCGTCATCATTGCTTTGCACAAAAAGGGCTTCACAGGCAAGGATATTGCTGCTAGTAAGATTGCACCTAAATCAACCATTTATCGGATCATCAAAAACTTCAAGGAGAGAGGTTCAATTGTTGTGAAGAAGGATTCAGGGCGCCCAAGAAAGTCCAGCAAGTGCCAGGACTTGCTCAGGAATGGCAGCAGGCAGGTGTGAGTGCATCTGCACGCACAGTGAGGCGAAGACTTTTGGAGGATGGCCTGGTGTCAAGGGCAGCGAGGAAGCCACTTCTCTCCAGGAAAAACATCAGGGACAGACTGATATTCTGCAAAAGGTACAGGGATTGGACTGCTGAGGACTGGGGTAAAGTCATTTTCTCTGATGAATCCCCTTTCCGATTGTTTGGGGCATCCGGAAAAAAGCTTGTCCGGAGAAGACAAGGTGAGCGCTACCATCAGTCCTGTAGCATGCCAACAGTAAAGCATCCTGAGACCATTCATGTGTGGGGTTGCTTCTCAGCCAAGGGAGTGGGCTCACTCACAATTTTGCCTAAGAACACAGCCATGAATAAAGAATGGTACCAACACATCCTCCGAGAGCAACTTCTCCCAACCATCCAAGAACAGTTTGGTGATGACCAATACCTTTTCCAGCATGATGGAGCACTTTGCCATAAGGCAAAAGTGATAACTAAGTGGCTCGGGGAACAAAACATTGACATTTTGGGTCCATGGCCAGGAAACTCCCCAGACCTTAATCTCATTGAGAAGTTGTGGTCAATCCTCAAGAGGCGGGTGGACAAACAAAACCCCACAAATTCTGACAAACACCAAGCATTGATTATGCAGGAATGGGCTGCCATCATTCAGGATGTGACCCAGAAGTTAATTGACAGCATGCCAGGGCGGATTGCAGAGGTCTTGAAAAAGAAGGGTCAACACTGCAAATATTGACTCTTTGCATAAACTTAATGTAATTGTCAATAAAAGCCATTGACACTTATGGAATACTTGTAATTATACTTCAGTATACCATAGTAACATCTGACAAAAATATATAAAAACACTGAAGCAGCAAACTTTATGAAGACCAATACTTGTGTCATTCTCAAAACTTTGGACCACGACTGTACTGTTCTGTTCTCGCACTCCCTCTCTCATCAATAATAAAACAAACAGCATGAAGAAAAAAAAAACACAGTTATCAACCTACAGTTGTGATATAGGAAGCATATAGGCTTACTCTATGACGCCATAGAGCCCTCTACCCACTGAATAAACACATACATGTTGAAGGTGGTATCAGGTACTGACAAAGCACACACACAATGTCATAGTTGAATAGTAAGCAGGAAAGTGAACTCTGCTATGGAAGGAAAATAAATGTTTCACACTTAGGGACAGATAGAAATGTGCTGGGGGGGGGGGGGGGGTCAAAAAATGGGAGGGTTGTGTGGTTTTTTGGGGCGCACAGGGGAGGGTAGTGCATTTTTTAAATCTGGTTTACATTTACCCTTTTCCTCGTATTTTCCCTACAAACAAATGGCTTGACTTACTTTTGATATTACCCTAATAAAGTTTAGAAACATTTGTGAAGGTTTGGTATGGTGTGGCTATTATTAAGCTTTAGCTACTGCAGGCCAAAGATATGAAATATTCCAAAACATCCATCCTGTTTGCAACAAGACACTAAAGTAATACGGCAAAAAATGTGTTATGTTTGGGGCAAATCCAATACAACACGTTAATGAGTACCACTCTCCATATGTTCAAGCATAGTGCTGGCTGCATCGTGTTATGGGTATGCTTGTAATCGTTAAGGACTGGTGAGTTTTTCAGGATAAAGAAACGGAATGGAGCTAAGCACAGGCAAAATCCTAGAGGAAAACCTGGTTCAGTCTGCTTTCCACCAGAGACTGGGAGATGAATTCACCTTTCAGCAGGACAATAACCTAAAACACAAGGCCAAATATACAGTTGAGTTGCTTACCAAGATGACATTGAATGTTCCTGAGTGGCCTAGTTACAGTTTTGACTTAAATCTACTTGAACATCTATGGCAAGACTTTAAAATGGCTGTCTAGCAATGATCAACAACCAACCTGACAGAGCTTGAAGAATTAAAAAAAAAAAAATATATATATATATATATATTGTGCAAATATTGTACAATCCTGGTGTTCAAATCTCTTACATACTTACAGCTGTAATAGCTGCCAAATGTGATTCTAACATGTATTGACTCAGGGGTATGAATACTTGTGTAAATGAGATATTTCTGTATTTCATTTTCAATAAATGTACAAAATATTCTAAAAACCTGTTTTCACTTTGTCATTATTGGGTATTGTGTGTAGATGGGTGAGAGAAAAAAAACGATTTAATCAATTTTGAATTCAGGCTGTAACAACAAAATGTGGAATAAGTAAAGGGGTATGAATACTTTCTGAAGGCACAGCATATACATGAATCGATCTATATATATGAATATTAATATGCCATTTAGCAGACGCTTTTATCCAAAGCGACTTACAGTCATGCGTGCATACATTTTTGTGTATGGGTGGTCCCGGGGATCGAACCCACTACCTTGGCGTTACAAGCGCCGTGCTCTACCAGCTGAGCTACAGAGGACCACATATATATATATATACACACACACATATATACATACATACACATACATGTATGTATAAGGTATATACAGCTGTGGAAAAAATTAAGAGACCACTGCACATTTTTCTTAAATCAGCATCTCTACATGTATGACAGCCATTCCATTCCAGTGTCTGTTGAATTCCAACACAGGCACACCTCATTCTACTGAATTAGGTACTGATTAGGTGATCACATGAACAAAATCTTATTTAACGAGGAAAAGTATAAAAACCACTGCTGTGGTCATCACTATCCTCTTGCAATAGGACCAGCTGGATGGCAAAAACAGTGCTAATAGTAGCTCAAAAGTAATATTAATTAAAAAAAAAAAATATTGACCATGCCAAAAGAGTTGAAAAGGAAAGTTTTGAGTGAGGAAAAGAAGGGTTCAATTCTGGCTTTACTGGCAGAGGGATACAGTGAGCGTCAGGTTGCTTCCATCCTTAAAATTTCAAAGACGGCGGTTCATAAGAACCAGGTCAAGCAGCAGACATTGGGGACAACAAAGCTACAGACCAGCAGAGGGCGAAAACGACTCTCTACTGACCGGGATGACCGCCAACTCATTCGAATGTCACTCAACAACAGTAGGATGACATCAAGTGACCTACAAAAATAATGGCAAACGGCAGCTGGGGTGAAGTGCACGGCGAGGACGGTTCGAAACAGGCTCCTAGGGGCAGGGCTGAAGTCGTGTAAAGCTAGAAAAAAGCCCTTCATCAATGATAAGCAAAGAAGAGCCAGGCTGAGGTTTGCAAAAGACCATAAGGATTGGACCGTAGAGGACTGGAGTAAGGTCATCTTCTCTGATGAGTCCAATTTTCAGCTTTGCCCAACACCTGGTCGTCTAATGGTTAGACAGAGACCTGGAGAGGCCTACAAGCCACAGTGTGAAATTTGGTGGAAGATCGGTGATGATATGGCGGTGCTTCAGCAAGGCTGGAATCGGGCAGATTTGTCTTTGTGAAGGACGCATGAATCAAGACACGTACAAGGTTGTCCTGGAAGAAAACTTGCTTCCTTTTGCTCTGACATTGTTCCCCAACTCTGAGGATTGTTTTTTCCAGCAGGACAATGCGCCTTGCCACACAGCCAGGTCAATCAAGGTGTGGATGGAGGACCACCAGATCATGACCATGTCATGGCCAGCCCAATCTCCAGACCTGAACCCCATTGAAACTTCTGGAATGTGATCAAGAGGAAGATGGATGGTCACAAGCAATCAAACAAAGCCGAGCTGCTTGAATTTTTGAGCCAGGAGTGGCATAAAGTCACCCAACATCAATGTGAAAGACTGGTGGAGAGCATGCCAAGAAGGATGAAAGCTGTGATTGAAAATCAGGGTTATTCCACCAAATATTGATTTCTGAACTCTTCCTAAGTTAAAATATTGCTATTGTGTTTTTGTTTTTTATGAACATGAACTTATTTTCTTTGCATTATTCGAGGTCTGACAACACTGCAACTTTGTTATTTTGACCAGTTGTCATTTTCTGCAAATAAATGCTCTAAATGACAATATTTTTGGGGGGAATTTGGGAGAAGTATTGTCAGTAGTTTATAGAATAAAACACATTTTTTATTTTTACCCAAACACATATAGTGGGGAGAACAAGTATTTGATACACTGCCGATTTTGCAGGTTTTCCTACTTATAAAGCATGTAGAGTTCTGTAATTTTTATCATAGGTACACTTCAACTGTGAGAGACGGAATCTAAAACAAAAATCCAGAAAATCACATTGTGTGATTTTTAAGTAATTAATTTGCATTTTATTGCATGACATAAGTATTTGATCACCTACCAACCAGTAAGAATTCCGGCTCTCACAGACCTGTTAGTTTTTCTTTAAGAAGCCCTCCTGTTCTCCACTCATTACCTGTATTAACTGCACCTGTTTGAACTCGTTACCTGTATAAAAGACACCTGTCCACAAACTCAATCAAACAGACTCCAACCTCTCCACAATGGCCAAGACCAGAGAGCTGTGTAAGGACATCAGGGATAAAATTGTAAACCTGCACAAGGCTGGGATGGGCTACAGGACAATAGGCAAGCAGCTTGGTGAGAAGGCAACAACTGTTGGCGCAATTATTAGAAAATGGAAGAAGTTCAAGATGACGGTCAATCACCCTCGGTCTGGGGCTCCATGCAAGATCTCACCTCGTGGGGCATCAATGATCATGAGGAAGGTGAGGGATCAGCCCAGAACTACACGGCAGGACCTGGTCAATGACCTGAAGAGAGCTGGGACCACAGTCTCAAAGAAAACCATTAGTAACACACTACGCCGTCATGGATTAAAATCCTGCAGCGCACGTAAGGTCCCACTGCTCAAGCCAGCGCATGTCCAGGCCCGTCTGAAGTTTGCCAATGACCACCTGGATGATCCAGAGGAGGAATGGGAGAAGGTCATGTGGTCTGATGAGACAAAAAGAGAGCTTTTTGGTCTAAACTCCACTCGCCGTGTTTGGAGGAAGAAGAAGGATGAGTACAACCCCAAGAACACCATCCCAACCGTGAACCATGGAGGTGGAAACATCATTCTTTGGGGATGCTTTTCTGCAAAGGGGACAGGACGACTGCACCGTATTGAGGGGAGGATGGATGGGGCCATGTATCGCGAGATCTTGGCCAACAACCTCCTTCCCTCAGTAAGAGCATTGAAGATGGGTCGTGGCTGGGTCTTCCAGCATGGCAACGACCCGAAACACACAGCCAGGGCAACTAAGGAGTGGCTCCGTAAGAAGCATCTCAAGGTCCTGGAGTGGCCTAAGCCAGTCTCCAGACCTGAACCCAATAGAAAATCTTTTGAGGGAGCTGAAAGTCTGTATTGCCCAGCGACAGCCCCGAAACCTGAAGGATCTGGAGAAGGTCTGTATGGAGGAGTGGGCCAAAATCCCTGCTGCAGTGTGTGCAGGAAACGTATGATCTCTGTAATTGCAAACAAAGGTTTCTGTACCAAATATTAAGTTCTGCTTTTCTGATGTATCAAATACTTACAGTGGGGGAAAAAAGTATTTAGTCAGCCACCAATTGTGCAAGTTCTCCCACTTAAAAAGATGAGAGAGGCCTGTAATTTTCCTCATAGGTACACGTCAACTATGACAGACAAAATGAGAGAGAAAAAATCCAGAAAATCACATTGTAGGATTTTTAATGAATTTATTTGCAAATTATGGTGGAAAATAAGTATTTGGTCACCTACAAACAAGCAAGATTTCTGGCTCTCACAGACCTGCAACTTCTTCTTTAAGAGGCTCCTCTGTCCTCCACTCGTTACCTGTATTAATGGCACCTGTTTGAACTTGTTATCAGTATAAAAGACACCTGTCCACAACCTCAAACAGTCACACTCCAAACTCCACTATGGCCAAGACCAAAGAGCTGTCAAAGGACACCAGAAACAAAATTGTAGACCTGCACCAGGCTGGGAAGACTGAATCTGCAATAGGTAAGCAGCTTGGTTTGAAGAAATCAACTGTGGGAGCAATTATTAGGAAATGGAAGACATACAAGACCACTGATAATCTCCCTCTGCCGTAACCATGGGGTCAAAATGATCACAAGAACGGTGAGCAAAAATCCCAGAACCACACGGGGGGACCTAGTGAATGACCTGCAGAGAGCTGGGACCAAAGTAACAAAGCCTACCATCAGTAACACACTACGTCGCCAGGGACTCAAATCCTGCAGTGCCAGACGTGTCCCCCTGCTTAAGCCAGTACATGTCCAGGCCCGTCTGAAGTTTGCTAGAGTGCATTTGGATGATCCAGAAGAGGATTGGGAGAATGTCATATGGTCAGATGAAACCAAAATAGAACTTTTTGGTAAAAACTCAACTCGTCGTGTTTGGAGGACAAAGAATGCTGAGTTGCATCCAAAGAACACCATACCTACTGTGAAGCATGGGGGTGGAAACATCATGCTTTGGGGCTGTTTTTCTGCCAAAGGGGACAGGACGACTGCACCGTATTGAGGGGAGGATGGATGGGGCCATGTATCGCAAGATCTTGGCCAACAACCTCCTTCCCTCAGTAAGAGCATTGAAGATGGGTCGTGGCTGGGTCTTCCAGCATGACAACGACCCGAAACACACAGCCAGGGCAACTAAGGAGTGGCTCCGTAAGAAGCATTTCAAGGTCCTGGAGTGGCCTAGTCAGTCTTCAGATCTCAACCCCATAGAAAATCTTTGGAGGGAGTTGAAAGTCCGTGTTGCCCAGCGACAGCCCCAAAACATCACTGCTCTAGAGGAGATCTGCATGGAGGAATGGGCCAAAATACCAGCAACAGTGTGTGAAAACCTTGTGAAGACTTACAGAAAACTTTTGACCTGTGTCATTGCCAACAAAGGGTATATAACAAAGTATTGAGAAACTTTTGTTATTGACCAAATACTTATTTTCCACCATAATTTGCAAATAAATTCATTAAAAATCCTACAATGTGATTTTCTGGAGAAAAAAAAATCTAATTTTGTCTGTCATAGTTGACGTGTACCTATGATGAAAATTACAGGCCCTCTCATCTTTTTAAGTGGGAGAACTTGCACAATTGGTGGCTGACTAAATACTTTTTTCCCCCACTGTATATATATATATATATATATATATATATATATATATATATATATATATATATTTAAAGTTGAAGTCGGAAGTTTACATAAACCTTAGCCGAACACATTTAAACTCAGTTTTTCACAATTCCTGACATTTAATCCTAGTAAAAGTCCCCTGTCTTAGGTCAGTTAGGATCACCACTTCATTTTAAGAATGTGAAACGTCAGAATAATAGTAGAGAGAATGATTTATTTCAGCTTTTATTTCTTTCTTCACATTCCCAGTGGGTCAGAAGTTTACATACACTCAATTAGTATTTGCCTTTAAATTGTTTAACTTGGGTCAAATGTAGCCTTCCACAAGCTTCCCACAATAAGTTGGGTGAATTTTGGCCCATTCCTCCTGACAGAGCTGGTGTAACAGTCAGGTTTGTAGGCCTCCTTGCTCGCACACGCTTTTTCAGTTCTGCCCACACATTTTCTATAGGATTGAGGTCAGGGCTTTGTGATGGCCACTCCAATACCTTGACTTTGTTATCCTTAAGCCATTTTGCCACAACTTTGGAAGTATGCTTGGGGTCATTGTCCATTTGTAAGACCCATTTGCGACCAAGCTTTAACTTCCTGACTGATGTCTTGAGATGTTGCTTCAATATATCCACATAATTTCCTTCCTCATGATGCCATTTATTTTGTGAAGTGCACCAGTCCTTCCTGCAGCAAAGCACCCCCACAGCATGATGCTGCCACCCCCGTGCTTCACAGTTGGGATGGTGTTCTTCAGCTTGCAAGGTACCCCCTTTTTCTTCCAAACATAACAATGGTCATTATGGCCAAACAGTTCTATTTTTGTTTCATCAGACCAGAGGACATTTCTCCAAAAAATACAATATTTGTCCCCATGTGCAGTTGCAAACCGTAGTCTGGCTTTTTTTTGGCGGTTTTGGAGCAGTGGCTAGGAAGTTGAATGAATGGGCTGCTGCAGTCACTATGGAGAGCTCTTTCTAGAGCGTCTGGTTAAATTGTGCATAAGAGCATTTTTAAAATCTCAATAGTTAAACCCCCCTTAGGTTGATGTCAGCATAAAAATCTGTCAGTTTAAGCTAGAGATATGTTTTTTTGCATTGGATCCGTCTCAATCCACCGCATCCGCCTATGTCGCACTTCCGCATCTGTGTTGAAAGGTGACAGAGCTAGAGCAGTGTTTGTCAGACCCTGAGACATCACAAAAATCGGTCTTCTCACAAAATTGCCTGTAGCTTCCGAATGGTTTGGCCTAAAACTATTATGACCCCTCTATGGAAAGATGAGACTCTCACGAACATGTCGGCTGTTTTGCTCTAGGGCGCCCACAAGCCTCACAACACTCGTCTGAAGGTCCCTCGGTACCAGCTGATTTTTTTTTTAATGTAAGTATATACGGAGATTGTTTAGTGCCAATAATAAGGGGTTAAATACATGTAAAATAAAAAAATAAAACATGTTTCCTGATATCTCTAAGATATAGGACAGACACTTCAGAACAAACATCCTTCTGAATTTTTTGAGGGGACTAACTGTTGTTCCATTTTATTTTTATTTTATTTATTTAACCTTTATTTAACCAGGTAAACCAGTTGAGAACAGGTTCTCATTTACAACTGCGACCTGGCCAAGATAAAGCAAAGCAGTGCAATAAAAACAACACAGAGTTACATATGGGGTAAAAAAACATAAAGTCAAAAATACAACAGAAAATATATATACAGTGTGTGCAAATGTAGCAAGTTATGGAGGTAAGGCAATAAATAGGCTATAGTGCAGAATAATTACAATAGTATTAACACTGGAATGCTAGATGTGCAAGAGATGATGTGCAAATAGAGATACTGGGGTGCAAAAGAGCAAAATAAATAACAATATAGGGATGAGGTAGTTGGGTGGGCTAATTTCAGATGGGCTGTGTACAGGTGCAGTGATCGGTAAGGTGCTCTGACAACTGATGCTTAAAGTTATTGAGGGAGATAAGAGTCTCCAGCTTCAGAGATTTTTGCAATTCGTTCCAGTCATTGGCAGCAGAGAACTGGAAGGAATGGCGGCCAACGGAGGTGTTGGCTTTGGGAATGACCAGTGAGATATACCTGCTGGAGCGCAGACTACGGGTGGGTGCTGCTATGGTGACCAATGAGCTAAGATAAGGCGGGGATTTGCCTAGCCTTATCTTAGTCCATGTAGTGAATCTGTTATTCAATGCGTTTGTAAAAAATATTTGGGGGGATACTTCAAAGGGTCTTAAAATTCCAAATCAAATAGCAAAATGATCCTTGGTATGACCTTCTTAAAACAATTCCATATAGCTTAGTATTATTTTATAAAGACTCCCATATGCCATTGAAACCAGTAGCCTATTTCTCTCATGTTCTATTGGTTTAAAATACATTTTATTTCATTGTCCAGTAACCAAAAGGCACAATCCTAGTCATATTAGCAACCCATGCTAGTTGTTGCATCTTTAGATCTCCCCTGTACATTTCAAATTGATGTTTTAATCTCAGTCACATGAAATCGCTTGCATGTGAGGTGCATTTTTGACAACTGGGTTTTCCGCTAATTGCATAATGGAACAAACATTTGTGCGTAGCCTACTGCCTTGTGCGCATTGCTGAAATAATAGTTTACCAACATTTTAAGCTAAACGTGCTGACCTGCTATGTAGCCTAGGCCTACTAGTGAATTTGGGTTCTATCGTCCCACAACTGTCCCAGAGTCTGTTTGGAATAGGCTACTTCTTTCTCGGAACAGAACGACAAGCTGACCAATAGAATAGATAAACTTTTCATTCTGAGCACCATGGGTGGACGTCCTAATCAGGTTACACACCCAATTCATATGGGTCCGATAGAATTCTCAAATGTCCATTAAATTAAAATGCTGAGGTCAAATGTCCAGCACCACATTTTCCTAACGAAAACCCTGTTGTGAATAGGCCTAGGCAACATCTTGATTTACCCAGTTTTTCAATAGAAATGTACCATTCAAATAAATGACCATTGTTGTTATGTAGTTAGATTGGTAAAAATAAAGTCAAATTGATTGTATACTGAGTTCATTAATGCATACATGGCTGTCTCTGAAAGTAGTCCTTGTGCAGAATTGTATGGTTTGTGAAACTTTGAAATCAATGGTTTTTGTTCAAGTGAAACATTTTAGTCTCAGCACAATTCCATTACAAACAAGTATGGCATGACAACAAATGTCAGTGGAGTTCACTGAAGCACTAAACAGATCTAGCTACTGGGCTACATTCCTTTGCATGTTAGTCAAATGATTGTCTGCAGGATGACATGTAGGCCATACAAGCGGCTGGATAGGAAGCTGTACCAGGCCAGGGGCTGACCTTTAGGGGCGCAACACAGCTCATAGAGAGAGGGATGCCATTCCTTGGAGTTTCTGTAGGACACAGGCGAGGCCCACCAGACTCAGAGGAAGACAATAAGCCATTGAGATAGCAGTGGCCCTATGGCCTCCTCTTGCGGCATTCCACATTCAAGAGGGAACATTCCAACAGCGTTGCATCATGGGCCGAAGTTGATAGTGGGCAAAATACTGGACATGCTGACCCATCTTTCTTATGAGGGTAGAATCTAGAACGGTCATTCTCATCCAACTTCCCTGATCAGTCCTATTGAAACACTCCCTTCCCAAATTAAGGGATTTGGTATGATACTTAGGCTTACAGTAAAATACGATTGGGTAGACAAGACATCATGGTGCCTGAAAATTATACAGGTAAGTCTAAAGCTTCCCCCTAGCATAAAGCCTGTCAACATTCTCTTCCCCTCATATTTACAGTACGAGTCAAAAGTTTGGACACACCTACTCATTCAAGGGTTTTTCTTTATTTTTCCTATTTTCTACATTGTAGAATAATAGTGAAGACATCAAAACTATGAAATAACACATATGGAATCATGTAGTAACCAAAAAGTGTTAAACAAATCTATATATATTTTAGATTTTTCAAAGCAGCCACCCTTTGCCTTGACAGCTTTGCACACTCTTGGCATTCTCTCAACCAGCTTCATGGGGTAGTCACCTGGAATGCATTTCAATTAACAGGTGTGCCTTGTTAAAAGTTTATTTGTGGAATGTCTTTCCTTCTTAATGTGTTTGAACCAATCAGTTGTGTTGTGACAAGGTAGGGGTGGTATACAGAAGATTATGTTAGACCACTGAGTGGCGCAGTGGTCTAAGGCACTGCATCGCAGTGCTAACTGTGCCAAATAGAGATCCTGGTTCGAATCCAGGCTCTGTCGCAGCACGGCGCGACCGGGAGACTCATGGGCGGCGCAAAGTCGCCAGGGTAGGGAGGGGAATGGCCGGCAGGGATGTAGCTCAGTTGATAGAGCATGGCGTTTGCAACGCCAGGGTTGTGGGTTCGATTCCCACGGGGGGCCAATTGTATAAAATAATAATAATATTAATATGTATTCACTAACTGTAAGTCGCTCTGGATAAGAGCGTCTGCTAAATGACTAAAATGTAATGTAAATGTAAGATAGCCCTATTTGGTAAAAGACCAAGTCCATTTTATGACAAGAATAGCTCAAATAAGCAAAGAGAAACGACAGTCCATCATTACTTTAAGACATGAAGGTCAGTCAATACGGAACATTTCAAGAACTTTGAAAGTTTCTTCAAGTGCAGTTGCAAAAACCATCAAGCGTTATGATGAAACTGGCTCTCATGAGGACCACCACAGGAAAGAAAGACCCAGAGTTACCTCTGCTGCAGAGGATAAGTTCATTCGAGTTACCAGCCTCAGAAATTGGAGCCCAAATAAATGCGTCAGAGTTCAAGACACATCTCAACATCAACGGTTCAGAGGAGACTGCGTGAATCAGGCCTTCATGGTCGAATTTCTGCAAAGAAACCACTACTAAAGGACACCAATAATAAGAAGAGACTTGCTTGGGCCAAGAAACACGAGCAATGGACATTAGACCGGTGGAAATCTGTCCTTTGGTCTGATGAGTCCAAATTTTAGATTTTTGGTTCCAACCGCCGTGTCTTTGTGAGACACAGAGTAGGTGAACGGATGATCTCTGCATGTGTGGTTCACACCGTGAAGCATGGAGGAGGTGGTGTGATGGTGCTTTGCTGGTGACACTGTCAGTGATTTATTTAGAATTCAAGGCACACTTAACCAGCATGGCTACCACAGCATTCTGCAGCGATACGCCGTCCTATCTGGTTTGCGCTTAGTGGGACTATCATTTGTTTTTCAACAGGACAATGACCCAAAACACACCTCCAGGCTATTTGACCAAGAAGGAGAGTGATGAGTGCTGCATCAGATGACCTGGCCTCCACAATCCCCCAACCTCAACCCAATTGAGATGGTACTGGTACTCCCTGCGTATAGCTCCATTCTTGTGTATTTATTCCTCTATTTATTTATTTTATTTGTATTATCTCAGCATCGTTGGGAAGGGCTTGTATGCAAGCATTTCACGGTTAAGTCCATACCCATTGTATTCGGTGCATGTGACAAATACAATTTGATCTTCATGGGAACTCGGCCAGCATGCCTAAGTGTCCCTGTCAATTCTCGCACCTGCATGACCACTAATGTGTTAGTAAAACACGTCATTCATGAAGCCATAACACAACGTGTCACATTTGGATTTCAGCCAAACCTATAGTCCAGATGGTGAATAAATAGGGCACTTATGAGAAATTAGGTCATACAAGTCATTAAATGACAGCAACCGTTTCTTGAAAAAAGTTGTTAGACACAAATAGCCCCCAAGATAACAGATTAATTATGATTAGTCAGTCATGGTGACAGATTTGAAACCTTGTTATGAGTGACAACTAAATGCTGTACTCTTGCACAAGCAGCAGAGGCAAAAATAAGACGTCAAAAGAGAAAGGGCAAACTGTCAGCGGTAAAAGAATGACAAACTCTAGCTATGATTCAGTCAAACAAAATGTAGTCAATAACAATAGATGGTGGGATTGAAGGGAGCAGGACTAGTCGGAACACTAATCTCCCAACAACCTACAATCTGACCATAACCTGACCATAACCTGACCATAACCTGACCTATATATATGCATTGTCTGTAACCAAACAATTGAATTTAAACTAAGTTGCTTGTTGTGACTAAAAATCAGTCTCTTGAGAGGGTGTGATGTTTTGGGAATCAACTGTAAAAACCGCAACTCATGTCCCCTTCCTTTAGGACAACCAACCACTACCTTGCATGATAAAATGATGCAGCAGATTCAGCGACCGACCATCCTCTGTGTCAAGACACAGGTGTGTAATTGCTACTGCTGTCAGATGTCCTTGATCCTCTCTTTCAGATGACTCAAACCTGTTCATTCTCTGTTCAAAAACCTGTCATTACAGATGATTAAGCACTCATAACCTAACCATGGATGGATTAGTGATACATATTCAAGGCCGTTCTCTACAACCACACCAATACTAGGCTTAGGCTACACTTAAAAACAGACAGTGAGTGTTTCCAAATGGCTGGTTTTGCTTTAAGGATATAAGTAGGTGTGCTGTTGTCATTTGTGGTGCGTTGTCTTGCCAGCCTGTATAATCTTATCTAACACTCCAGTTGTCTCAAGCAGCAGTCTCCTTCAGCCATGTCCCTGTGGTGGTGCCGAATCTGGACTTAATTTCCATTTAAATGGTGGGGGTGGCCTCCCGAGTGGCGCAGCGGTCTAAGGCACTGCATCGCAGTGTTGCGGCGTCACTACAGCCTGGGGTTCGATCCCAGGCTGTGTCACAACTGGCCGTGACCGGGAGTCCCATAGGGCGGCACACAATTGGCCCAGCATTGTCCGGGTTAGGGGAGGGGTTGGCCGGGGGGGCTTTACTTGGCTCATCGCGCTCTAGCGACTCCTTGTGGTGGGCCAGACGCCTGCAGGCTGACTTCGGTCATCAGTTGAACAGTGTTTCCTCTAGCACGTTGGTGCAGCTGGCTTCCGGGTTAAGCGAGTGGGTGTTAAGAAGCGCAGTTTGGTGGGTCATATTTCGGAGGACGCATGACTCGACCTTCGCCTCTCCCGAGCCCGTTGGGGAGTTGCAGCGATGAGACAAGATCACAATTGGATATCACGAAATTGGGAAGAAAAAGGGGGTAAAATTACATTATAATTTTTTTAAATGGTGGGGGTGGCTAACGCTTCTCCATAAACCTACATCATCAGTAACTATACATACAGTTGAAATCGGAAGTTTACATACACCTTAGCCAAATACATTTAAACTCAGTTTTTCACAATTCCTGACATTTAATCCTAGTAAAAATTCCCTGTCTTAGGTCATTTAGGATCACTACTTTATTTTAAGAATGTGAAAAGTCAGAATAATAGTAGAGAGAATGATTTATTTCAGCTTTTATTTATTTCATCACATTCCCAGTGGGTCATAAGTTTACATACACTCAATTAGTATTTGGTAGCATTGCCTTTAAATGGTTTAACTTGGGTCAAACGTTTCGGGTAGCCTTCCACAAGCTTCCCACAATAAGTTGGGTGAATTTTGGCCCATTCCTCCTGACAGAGCTGGTGTAACGGAGTCAGGTTTGTAAGCCTCCTTGCTCGCACACGCTTTTTCAGTTCTGCCCACACATTTTCTATAGGATTGAGGTCAGGGCTTTGTGATGGCCACTCCAATACCTAGACTTTGTTGTCCTTAAGCCATTTTGCCACAACTTTGGAAGTATGCTTGGGGTCATTGTCCATTTGGAAGACCCATTTGCGACCAAGCTTTAACTTCCTGACTGATGTCCAAACATAACGATGGTCATTATGGCCAAACAGTTCTATTTTTGTTTCATCAGACCAGAGGACATTTCTCTAAAAAGTACGATCTTTGTCCCCATGTGCAGTTGCAAACCGTAGTCTGGCTTTTTTATGGCAGTTTTGGAGCAGTGGCTTCTTCCTTGCTGAGTGGCCTTTCAGGTTATGTCGATATAGGACTCGTTTTACTGTGGATATAGATACTTTTCTACCTGTTTCCTCCAGCATCTTCACAAGGTCCTTTGCTGTTGTTCTGGGATTGATTTGCACTTTTCGCACCAAAGTACGTTCATCTCTAGGAGACAGAACGCGTCTCCTTCCTGAGCGGTATGACGGCTGCGTGGTCCCATGGTGTTTATACTTGCGTACTATTGTTTGTACAGATGAACGTGGTACCTTCAGGAATTTGGAAATTGCTCCCAAGGATGAACCAGATTTGTGGAGGTCTACAATTTTGTTTATGAGGTCTTGGCTGATTTCTTTTGATTTTCCCATGATGTCATGCAAAGAGGCACTGAGTTTGAAGGTAGGCCTTGAAATACATCCACAGGTACACCTCCAATTAACTAAAATGATGTCAATTAGCCTATCAGAAGCGTCTAAAGCCATGACATAATTTTCAGGAATTTTCCAAGCTGTTTAAAAGGCACAGTCAACTTAGTGTATGTAAACTTCTGACCCATTGGAATTGTGATACAGTGAATTATACGTGAAATAATCTGTCTGTGAACAATTGTTGGAAGAATTACTTGTGTCATGCACCGACTTGCCAAAACTATAGTTTGTTAACAAGACATTTGTAGAGTGGTTGGAAAACGAGTTTTAATGACTCCAACCTAAGTGTATGGAAACGTCCAACTTCAACTGTACATAGACTCCACTTCAGGGAGTTCACAACAAGCCTTCCTCTGCCCTCCATTCTCCAGCCAAGCATAGGCTACCTCACTCACAGACAGCACAAGCAAATGTTGTGGAGGAAAACCGCTCACACACTGTCTGCAACAGCCCATTCTGTATCAGCCAGATACTGGCAAATTAGCAGCTGTATACAGCGCATCACCCCTACTCAGGCCCATCGGTCAGCATTAAAGCTCAAAAACCTCTCTGCTACCTTGAGTAGACAACTTGTAGGTCCTTGGTCAATTATGTCAGTTATGTCCTGATTTTGAAAACCATTATCGTCATGATCATCTCCGTAAGGTCTTCTGAAGGAGTCATTATTTTCTGTTCTCTCTGCATTGCACGGTGAAAGTCTTTCAGCCTTGTTACTCTAATCCTCTGGAACTGCAGTTTACATATGACAACAGAGTAGTAGACCTTAAGTGTACCCCCAGGATGAACTTGTAAATAAAACATTGCTCTCACATGAACTGTTTCAATACAACAGGAGTACAGTGGCTTCTCTCTCCACGACTCTACAGCGCAGTCGATTTTTTAACCCCTTATCCTATACCTTTTCTTGGCAAATCTATAGGCCTGAATCTTTGAAGTGCGCATTTGTATTTATTAAGGATCCCCTTTAGCACATCGATTTGTCAACTAGTTCAAAATCCAGTTGCATGTGTAAAACATGCAAACAGGCAATCCCTCTTCTTTGCTCCGGGCAAAGCGCTCAACCCTGGGCAAGTTCATTGACTCAGTGGATTTTAAATAGTCTTTCTATCTGGATCTTGATTGACGCTGTCATCATGTGATTGTGTATGTCTGAACGGCCACTGGCGTAATCTGATGTTTGATATGAGAGAGCTGTGTAGAGCACGTGCCTGGCACATGGGCTGGCAGGACAGGGCAGCCGTAGCACAGGAGGGGGGGCTAAGAGGATTTGGGCAGCTGCAAGCGGGTCCCACTCCACCCCCACCCCCCTCTTAGGACCCGTGACCAATTATACAATCCCGTGCTGGCTAACTGCTGTGGTTATTTCAAATTCCCAAAACAACAACACAAAAGCGTAACTGAGGCCAAAGGGGTGATAGGGAGGCGTAGGTGAAAGGCAAGAAGAGAAAGAAGGTAGTTTCTTCTTAGATGCATCATGGCATTGTGTGCTGTTTGTCTTCATTCTGTAACATGCTATACATTTTTATAATACTGTTTTTAAAAATAAAACATGGTAGGGACCAATTTCATGGGTGCTCCTTGCAGGACAAAATACAAGATGATGAATAACTACGTTTGTTATCATCACAATTATTCTAGTCAAATTACTTCGACAGAGAACTGAAATAAAGAAAAGTACTACTCTGAGTCACCTCCCTGGGCTCTGGTCCGACCTCCATCAACTAAACTCTGCATTAGAACCCTCTCTATTGTTGTGGAACATGACTTACAGTCAGCCTCGGCTCACTCTGTCTACGCAGAAACAGACCATTGTCATGGATAGACAAAGACCCAGGCAGACATTACTGCAGCGTTTGACCATAATAGAGATGAAAGACATAATGACAGTCGTGGATGAATACTTGGTGACTGCAGGAACCGCACACACACACACAACTTGCAGGTTTTCTTCATCTACATACACACTGTCCAATTTCCATGGAGCAGACTTTGGTCCTCTCGTCTATGGTGCCCGCCATCTGTGTAGAAGATATTTATACATAAAGCCTACATGCCATGCTCAACTGTGGGCAAATTTACAGTGGAAAATCGCTCAATTTGACGTCTCAATCCAATTGTGAAGTTGTTGAGGGTTCTGAGCATGTCATTACATTTAAGCTATATCAACTTGCAAAACATTAATTACCAAAAGCCACAACTAAACATATTTCTACAGCAAGTCTCAAAATCTAAATCTTTATCTTTGCTGCAAATTTAAATCACAATAGCATGGGGCACAGTAACTTTCAATAGTAAGGCTAATGGTTGTACAGTATTGGCTGTTCAATCTGCCCTTCTTAGAGACTTTGGTCTCAAAAACTCCCATGGTGTGACACTGTGAATCTAATCAGGAGAAACAAAAGGAAGAAATATCAGTGTGTGAAAGCTGTGAAAGAAACGCATCCTTTTATTTTATCTCCTGCCAACTGTAACCAAGGCCAAGAAAGAACTAAGCCTAATCCCAAAAAGATAGGCCTACTGTTCTCCCTCCCTGGCTCCCTCTTCCCCTTCTTTCCCACTGGAGAGATGGCGGCCAGAGAAGGAGGGGTGTTGTGCATTTTATAGTCTGCTGCTGCAGACACAGACCTTGAGTGCATGGTACTGCTTCTATAAAGTGGAATCAACTAACCTGTCCCAATCTAATGGAGTGTCCAAAGATTGTTCTCAATGTCATAATGTCAAAAGAAATCCATGAAACTCCTCTGTCATTAAACGTCCTCACTAGAGGTCTCTGGTGGAATTCAATCCCCATCGCTCCACAACTCTTTGCATTTAATCATCTTCTCACCACACCTAGGACACAGTGGCCTGCATCCCAATCCTGCAATGAATTTCAAAAGGCTTTCAAATCGGCTGGCCTGTCTAGATCTGCACCAGGGGTCAGGTCAGCTTTCTAAATCCGGCAGCTGATACCAAATCAATTATGGCACGGCTGTTGGGTAAGCAGAATGGAGACATCCATAAAGGGCTGGAGAAACCTGGCTAAATATTCAGGCATGTTGATCGCTGCCCAGCACTTTGCTGCCCCTCTCTCTCCCTCTTGGTGCCAACTGTGCAGAACCACTCTGGATCAGACAAGCTGCTAATTACTTTGGTTTCTTCAGCTTTTTCTGTATTTTACAGGGATGCTGAATAACGAAAAGGAGATGACTTTGGTTAGGGTCTTAAGAATTTAGGCTAAATTACATGGAGTAGTATTACCCTTTCAAAACAGTGAACTTATACTGAACAAAAATATAAAACGCAACATCAAATCAAATTTGTCACATGTGCCTTACCGTGAAATGCATACTTACAAACCATTAACCAACAACGCAGTTCAAGAAAGAGTTAAGAAAATACTTACTTATTGGACTTACTGCCAAATTATCTAAAACGATGTTGGAGGCAGCTTATGGTAGAGAAATTAACATTAAATTATCTGGCAAAAGCTCTGGTGGACATTCCTGCAGTCAGCATGTCAATTGTACGCGCCCTCAACTTGAGACATCTGTGGCATTGTGTTTTGTGACAAAACTGCACATTTTAGAGTGACCTTTTATTGTCCCCAGCACAAGGTGTACCTGTGTAATGGTCATGCTTTTTAATCAGCTTCTTGATATGCCACACCTGTCAGGTGGATGGATTACATTGGCAAAGGAGAAATGCTCACTAATAGGGATGTAAACAAATTTGTGCACAACATTTTAGAGAAATAAGCTTTTTGTGCGTATGGAAAAGTTCTGAGATGTCTTATTTCAGCTCATGAAACATGGAACCAACACTTTACATGTTGCGTTTATATTTTTGTTCAGTGTGCATTTCAAATACACAGTGAAAAACCCAAAAAACAAGGATTACTCGTATTTTAAGAGATATCAGTTAATAATGTAGGTCTAGCCAAAGATTGTCTGTGGCGCCTCCTTGACATTAGGCACGGGTGTTTGTCACCCACTACACAGCCTAACCACCAGATAGGAGAACATTTTTATCATTAAAACAGTATGGCAAATGGATGACTGGAAGGATGGAGTTCGTAGAGAAATGGATGGATGAGGACGAGAGATGGTTGGCGAGTCATGTTGGATTTTAATAATTCATGTCTGGACTTTAAGCTGCAATCTATAACATTTCTGTCTCAAAAACAGTATCTGTTTTATCCTGTAACTGTGTGAATGGATGGGGGAGGGATGTGGTTGTTTATAATTGCAAGTACTAATATGCTTGGCTAGTGGGTAGAGTGGCAAGCATGGATTGTAGTGTCCCAGCTCTGTTCCCATCTGCTCAGGCTATACAGGCAGATGGATGCGAGCTGAGCGCGACTGGCCGGCACGTCTCTGGTTGTGGGCCTGTCACACTGACAGATGAGGTGGAGTGTGGCTGAAGGTCATTCACTGAATGCTTGATTGAATAACCCTGGAGAAGGAGGAGAGGCAAAGGGAGGAAATGTGCAGGTTTAGCCTCCTGACATCTCTCCCTCTCTCTGTGAGTCTCTCTCTGATGAATGAGAGGTGGTAATAGAGGCCATTTTGGCTCAGTGGAAACCTTAGCCAGGTCTTCGTCTCTGTCTGCTGCCATTCAAGCACGTCTCCATGTACAATGGCCCCATCTTCTACCTTCCCTTTCACTTTATTATTACTTTTCATATTGAATTTTTGGTATCGAGGGAAAACAGCTGTCTATTATTAGTATATTAGGTTCATGATTCAGTGTGTTCCCCCCATAATTGGATAATGGTAGAGCACTTGAACCTGTACAGCAAGCAAACATTTGCCAAATACTATAAAACAGAACAGGCCCGGTCTTTCTTAACTGCCTTTTAGAGAGGATTTAAAAACCAGCAAGAAAAGTTTACAGAGCAAGAAGGAATGTCAGCCAGCTCATCTTACAATATTGTGAATGTGGGTCAATCATCTAATCCTACTGTTGCCCATAGCCCTTCCTCCAACAGTCCAAGGGTACAGTGCTCTGGAGGGGATATCAGTGGGTCTTATTTTCAGGTAGTTTGAAGTGCACTTTGATACCAGAGGTCTTCAGAGCACTGAAAGGAGATTATATTGCAGGAAAGAGAGAAACAAATCCCTTCCCTATGTGACTAATCTAGGAAGTACAGTGCAGCTCTGAAAATATCAATAGCCTTGCTCCATTCTAGGGGAACATGCTGATTCAACGCTTTTCTATCTCCAGGAGAACATAGTTCAATAACAAAACGACTTAATGTTGATGCGAAAATGACAAGGCTATGCGGTGTTCAACAATACTGTACGTCAGAGCGGAATGCTACAGACTTAGTGGCCGGTAAAATAAATAAACAACATTCTATGGTTTCCCTCAGCACACTTAGAAAAGGCAATGCAGAGTACTCCTCCTGGCAAAAGTACTGAGAAATAATTATGTTAGTCAATGACTATGTTTATGTTTACCCTCATGTTATTCTGGTTGCAAAAATACTTTCCCAAATATCTTGACGAAATCACTGAATTGAAGGAGTGGCACAGTGGTCTAAGGCACTGCATCGCAGTGCTAGCTGTGCCACTAGAGATCCTGGTTCGAATCCAGGCTCAGTCGTAGCCGGCCGCGACCGGGAGACCCATGGGGCGGCGCACAATTGGCCCAGCGTCGTCCAGGGTAGGGGAGGGAATGGCCGGCAGGGATGTAGCTCAGTTGGTAGTGCATGGCGTTTGCAACGCCAGGGTTGTGGGTTCGATTCCCATGGGGGGCCAGTATGAAAAACGTGGATATCGACTTTGCAACTCCAGCATGCAGCATTGCAGTCGATGCTACGCAGGGCAACGGGCCAGAAGGATGAGGGTTCGCCGACCACCACAGACGAGCCCACTCTCCCTGCCTGTTTCATTACACTACGATCAGAGCCAGCTGCAGACAATGATCAGCTAGGGGGAAATCATATTTTCAACATTTTGATGCCATATTTATAATTATACAAATTACAGTGCCATGAAATTCAATGGTTTGTGTTTACAACACCACAATAAATAGACTATGTCAACAAAGTCGGGGGCTTATTTCCATTGTGGTCCCTATTTTTAAAAACATAAATATCTATACAATTACATAGATAGAGACTAAAAAATGCTCAACCTCCAGATGAGTATGAGGGGGGAGTTTAAGTACAATTCTTACAAGCTTGTTTGGCTGGTAGCTTATTCTTTAGATGTTTGGGGCTGCTGGTGAACCATGATGTGCAGGCATAATCAAAGAGACACTGGACTAGCGCACTTGCCAGAGTCTTTCGGGTGACTATAGCTAGTTTTCCATGCAATTGATGACAGATTTTCATGTGAATTGTCCACCTCACGGTTCAGCTATCAGGGATTTTAGCACTAAATGTATCAGGGCATTGCATGCATAGGCCTATAGGCTTAGGTGTCCACTGTATAACAGAAATATAAATAAATAAAATATCTATTACACACACACTACATGACCAAAAGTTTGTGGACACCTGCTCATCTAACATCTCATTCCAAAATCATGGGCATTAATATGAAGTTGGTCTCCCCTTTGATGCTATAACAGCCTCCACTATTCTGGGAAAGCTTTCCACTAGATGTTGGAACGTTGCTGCGGGGAATTGCTTCCATTCAGCCACTAGAGCATTATTAACGTTGGGCGATTAGGCCTGGCTCGCAGTCGGCGTTCCAATTCATCCCAAAGGTGTTCGATGGGGTTGAGGTCAGGGCTCTGTGCAGGCCAGTCAAGTTCTTCCACACCGATCTCGACAAACTATTTCTGTATGGTCCTCGCTTTGTGCACGGGGGCATTGTCATGCTGAAACAGGAAAGGTCCTTCACCAAACTGTTGCCACAAAGTTGGATGCACAGAATCGTCTATAATGTCATTGTATGCTGTAGCGTTAAGATTTCCCTTCACTGGAACTAAGGAGCCTGAACCATGAAAAACAGTCCCAGACCATTATTCCTCCTCCACCAAACTTTACAGTTGGCACTATGCATTGGTGTCAGGTAGAGTTCTCCTA